ACTTTTTTTTCCTGCCCAAGTCTTTCTTCACGTGTGTTTAGACGTGATCCGATATATAATGACCTTGTTTTGTTCCAGATTATTGGCGTCAGTGGAGTCAGCCATCGTTTGAAAGCATCGGGACTGACTCGAACGCAATATTTACTTTTAAAGCACTATTAATATCGTGGTTTCATTTTAAAGCTTCTCTCATGTTCCATCGGCCCTTTCTGGTTTATTTTTCATTTCATATCATCGACATGTCACTAAAACACATTATGACGCTTCACTGGCCGCAAGACTAAGAACCCTAGTGAGAGTATGTAAGAAACGCTATGAAAATTTCCTACCATTTCTCTGCGGTACTTGCAGTAGAAGCCACGTGCGTCCCGTCATGATTCTCACGTCAGCAACCACCCTCGGTACCAGAGGTGCCCAGTTGAGACAAATGTGTGCCTATAATGTAATGCTTGTATGTGATTGGCTGGGGCCTGTTCAAGAGTCCGCTCAGAGAGGCGTCTAATAGACCCTTTTCGTATTCTCGGTAGAAGCTAATGCGGGGAGTGTTTTCAAATGCAAATGACATTAATGTCTTTTTAATGATATCCTTCCGCATGAGCCTCCATGCCTTCCAATCCAAAACCGATAATACAAAACTGGGCTACTGAGCCTCTTTTTTTTTTTTACTACTTTGCCATCTCAACAATTAGAGGGAGGGACGAATAAGGGGAGAATGACAATGCAAGTATGATTTATCAGGCTTTTCGAGAGTTTGCTCAGTTCTTGTTTCGTCGCACATGAAATGAGAAACGTCGTTACAATAATGACTTCTTCCATTCCAGATTTCACCGCAAAATTTACTTGTCGAGACTCCATGGAACTGTTTGTTGATGGGATAAGCCTAGGAAAAGACAACGGGGGATGGAGGACGGCCACAGATTTCGTCATACCAGGCAATACCAAAATTATTGCAGTGGAAGCGAAGAGCTCTCATTATCATCCAGGGATACTCGGTTCCTTCAGCAATGGACTGGTAACTAACTCGAACTGGAAATGCAGCGAACGCTCTCATCTCAGATGGAATTCACCTGATTTTGATGACAGCAGTTGGCCAGCGGCATGGGAAGTTCAAAGACACGGTGATGGGCCTGGGGGATACATAGCTGGTATCGACCGGACCGCGAAGTGGATATGGACATTTAGACAGAGACTTGGTAGCTGTTATTGCAGACTAAATCTGCAGTAAATCCCTCATTAAAAATTAGAGGTCAAGGGTACATGCCGTTATTTTCATAAATGTTTATTTCACGGCCATTGTTATATAGCTGAAATTTTACCTCAACAGCGCGCACTCGCATTGACTTCGTCAGGGTCACATGACATCTAACAAAAATCTGTTTCCCGCCAAAAGTCTCTGAGCGGGTATAACTTACAAAATTTATGCCGCTAAATAACAACAAACAACAACAACATCTTATCTTTATTTCTCAATATTATAACATGATTAATTAGTTTATCTAATATATATGTATAGCATATTTTAGATGAGCTAGGTAACTGTGATAATCTTGTTTGAATGGGACTAGTGGAAGCTACATGAACAGTTAGGTTTTCGAGCAGTGCCAATCGTGGTAAGTGTTCAGCGGAGGGGCCCGGGGGACCCGAGCCCCCTCCCCCCTATTTTGGGTAAAAAAGGATAAATAACAGAAGGAGGAAAAGCCAGCAGGGCAATCAAAACAAAACCGCCTCCCCTTTAGTTCAAGGGCTGGATCCGCCATCGGTGTTGACCGACCATTGCTACTTTTACATATATTGGAGCTACTAATTCATGACTTAAAGAAGACGTCCTTTTTTTCCTGTCAGAAGCATAGGCTTACTCCGAGAAATAATCCCAAACTCCTCTCAAGCTAGGTGTCGAACAGAAGCCCTTTTGTTGAGCATGCTATATAACAAATCAGATAATTTCGCTCGTTTCCTCTCGAATGTCAATGTTCTTAGCAAACAAAACTAATTGTTACCCTCGGCACCAGTCAAAGGAAAGAATATCATTATATTGAGTACAAAATGAATTCGTGTCAATATCTCTTCTTTCAGTCTTGTCACCCGCAGAGTACAAAATTACTCAGTTGAATTGTTAAATGTAACATCTGTTAAATGAACCAAACGAATAAGTCAAATCACGATTTAGTGAATTTAAGCCTGATGTTGTTCACAGATCTCAAGAAGGTTAACTGCTACGAATACAGGGTTTTTCAAATATTTGGAGCGCGAAGCCTTGCGCTGAATTTTTTAACTAGAACTATACATTAAACGGGCAAATTTGATGGCGAACTCAGATATAAAACTTCCTACCTTTCTTGAAGAAAATGCATGCATGTTAAATTGAACTGATTAGCAATCAGATAAAATACAATGTTATTCGACTGACAAAATTACTTCATTGTGATTGGCTGTGAGTAGGCCAGTTTAATCGTTAATAATTATTTCGCTCTGTAGTGTAAATTAACGCTCGCGCGTTCGTAATTTTCCTAGTCATATAATGAGTAATCGTATGAAAGTTCGAGCAATTAAGATTTACACTACTTATGATATTTGAAAATTCTTTCAAATTACACTCGCCTAAAGGCTTGTGCATTTTTAAGACAATTTTCAAATATCATTCGTGGGGAGGGAGGGAGGGGGGGTTAATCTGAATCTTGAATCTGACGCCCTCTGGTCAAGCAAATATACTGCATGCAAAAGAAGGTCAGTGAAGGGTTATTTTATCTCACCTCGCTCAAACGGATATCTTTTACTGTGAAAAGCAAGACTCAATTGAACATACTTTTACTAACTGCCAATTTGCAAAGACGATCATAAACAATGTAATAAACTGGGTTTAATGCTACTAACAAGACAAAACTTACTCCACCAACTGAAGAAAACTGTTTGGTATCATATCTGGCCCATCTGAAGAAGAAAAATTAAATGTAAGTAATGTGTTGTAAATAGTTAACTAATCAGTATGAGACATATGTAGGTAATGTAATGTGGTTCTGTGGGAACAGATGTAACAAATATTAGAGACAAATAGAAGTAATGCTAGAGCAGGAAACAAAAGTAAGTGACATTTTTTAAGTGGTATATGAGATAACTATAAGTGATAGGTTAAGTCTGCATACGAGCCAAGTGACCCATCAGACCGGAGCTTATCTCTGGTTTCTGTAGCATGAAGCGACTAGGAGTATTTCAAACTCCCCTCTGGATGGGAGGCTAGTCCATCGCAGGGTTACCCCCAGCATTAGGCTCGCCGGTACCCATTTCTACACCTGGGTGGAGCTGAGAGAGGCACTGTAAGAGTAGTGTCTTGCCCAAGACTACAATGCAATGTCCCCAGCCAGGGCTCGAACCCGGGTTACTCGATCCGGAGACGTCGAAGTCGAGCGCACTAACCTTGAGGCCACCGCGCCTCCAGACTATAAGTAACGGTATTACAGAATAAATAAAATAAAAATGAAATTAAAAAAACTCACCTAGCTCACAGGAAATCCATATAATAAACCGTAAAACAACTAGTAAAAAGAAAACTTGTAAATACATAGAAATTTATTATTTGTGTCTGTTGTGGTTATGAAGCAATTCAGATAGTCTTTCTTTTTTTCGTTGGAATATTAAACTTTAAATCTCAATTAAGGAAAGAAATTAAATAAGATGTGTTGCTGTACTTTACGCCCTCTTTATTTTCATCCCTTTTGCAAATTTTCCGAGTGTACGGAAATACTACTTTGTAGTGTGTCAGCTTATCTACAATGCTATCAAATTCTGTCATGCGACTTACACTTAATTTTGTGATCTAAGTTTCAATCTTTCTTATCTTTGTTCTGTTAATATGATTTATAGTTTCCCCTAAATTATTATTTCAAGTTTCTTTTCGTTGAAAAAGAAAGTTATATCCGGTAAACAAATGAGTTGAGATATCGTGACAAAAGCTTAGCTTAGCTTCGCGAGAGTCATATACCACGTGCCCTTGAGAACATCAAGAAGGATAGACCAGATTCTTTTACATATGGAGTAGAAAGCAGATAAGATTTGAAGGAAAGATTTTAAGGTTTGCCAATGAACTTGGCAATCGGCCTTAATTATATATTCAAGTGCTTTGTGCTCTTAGTGTTGACAGTTTCTCGATACATATATTTCTTTAGATACAATTCAGTGTGTGGTATCCCGGTATATTTTTAGAGTCTTGCAGTATTTTGCAACTATAGCAAAAACCCGGCGAACGATTGCTTGAATTTCAGTCGTCTCTTGCGGTTTGTGCGACTCGAGAAGACGGTTGAAATACAGACTATAGGACAGTGATTTATGCTGTGAATCATGAATGTAAATGGAAAGCGATACTTCACGCTAAAAAGCATGCAAGTAAGGCATGCAATAGACCATCTGACGTTTGTTGTTCCTGAAATATTGACTGTCTGTCATGCTCACTTAAAACATACAGTAAAATCCCGATTTCTCGAACCCTCATTTTTTCTAACCTCCCGATAACTCGAACCAAAAGTCGTTCCCTCTCCTCAGTCGAACACTGTAAGTTTACCCCCGATTTCTCGAACTCTTTGATTTTTCGAACTTATTTACGTTTGTCTTGGAGGTTCGAAGGTTCCACTGTAGTTAATAGAGGGAGGATGGTTATAGCAAACAAAGATGCCAAGATTTATGTTAGAAGGTCTTCGACCGCACACAATCTTTTGTTTTGCGCTCATACGTTGTGCATTAATTACGTAACCAAAACGTTTCTATTGGTTTATTCCTCAGTCAGTAGTAAACAACAATTGCGTTTTGTACACCGTCAAGGCCAAAAAAGTGAACAAGCAAACGACAAAGAACTTTGTCGGATTTAATGACGATTTCCACAGTAATTGAGTATGGTTAACGAGAGTAGGAAGCGGAGAACGACTATAGATAACCTGCTAAACCGGTTTCCTAGAGTATAAATACCATTGGATATCTTGGTGTATTCGTTTCTAATGTATTAGCTCTTCGCTAAGTTGAGTTGAGTGATAAAATTAATTTACAGACGGCAGTTTGGCATAGTGAAGCATTAATCAGTTAGAAATTCCAAGCGCCCTCGTCCAAATCCACTGTCACCTCACTGCATTGCATTGTCAAGTTTAGTGCTGAGATAAAAAAAAAAACATCAACTAAGGGACAATGTGTTGATGTGCAACTAAATTCTCAAAAGTTACTTTGAAACAAAGCTTAGAATCACAGTTACGATGATTAATAGGCTGTGAAGCCATTTTTCTTTTCAGAACTGTGTCAAAATGAATCAATAATGTTGGTGATCAAACGAAATGCTAATTTTAAAACAGGTGATATTTGCTCAACATTGCCTTGAGCTATCACGTTATCACAAAACGTTGCTGTGAATTTTCCTTTGAAGGCTCTAAATTCAAGTTTGAAAATTATCTTTAAAATTGATTGTTTAATGGATTTTAACCGCATTTTCGTAACCGCACTCTCAGTGAGCTGAATAAAATTGAAACTGCGTCTGCTGCTGCGAGAGGTAAATTGATTGATATAATTTTGTGCAGCGGGCTTAAAGAACATCCATTGTTTAAAGACAAAAGGTATTTTCCAAACAAAATCGAGTGGTTATTTGACACGAAAAACATAGGAAGCCGTCTTAACTGGAAGTTTGTTTTTCTCTCCCTTTCATATTGCACACAACAACGACAAATTTTAAGCGGAGGGATACATTGGCATCAGAATATTCTTTGCTCGCTTTGTCCGTTGAAAAATTCATGTGTTTTTTTGGCTGGTCAATTTGTGAAGATACATGAAACATTTGATCAAATTAAAGTTAAAATCGTTCCATTTTGACTGGTGACTCTTTTGTAAATAACAACTGACGAGCCAAAGTAGTTTTCCTTTTGCTCAATGCCAGGACGGAAATTAAATTTCACTGAAAACCCAAAGCGGCGCATAAATAAATAAGAACGAAGTTGAATAACAGCGGAACAAGAGAGGAACTCTCGTAAGCCTGCTGCGGACAATCACGAGAACCAATCAGATCAAAGAAACACTTACGACTTGGGGTGAATTAATTCAACAGAATACATTCATGCAGAGCCGGCTACTAAGGTATTGATCACCGTTTTATAAATGAGAAGTTAAGATAGCTGCGTCTTGACCTGGCTGTAATGCGATGTGTTGTGCGCAGACCTTTGGCATTTTGGTGGTGAGTACACGTATGTGTTAAAATAGACTTTTTTTCGTAGGAAATATTCCACCAGTATTTTGCGTAACTCTGATATATACTTCCTGGGCATATGCTAGCTGAAAAATATTTTCCGTCCGTAAATGCCTATGAAAATTATTACTAAGACCCTGTCATCCTTAATGAGTTGTATCGTAGTCTGCAGAAATCCAAGCGATGAAATAAAGCTGATATCGACCGGGCGACAACGGTTATGTACTGATCGGCTGATGTCTTTATCCACTGTTGACTTATTTACTTTTGTACGAGTGAAATAACGAACATGACTCGAGGTTTTGTATTTGAATATTTTATAGTTTTGTTTCACCAAATAATCACAATGCTCTAGACTAAGGGAGTGGAAATATTCATAAACACGCCGTTAACATGAAGCCAAAAACAATAATACAGCGTCTTTATTGGCAAAAAGAAAAAAAATAGGTCATGTGTAATGAATGTTTTGGATTAATAAATGGTCATCCTGGGTTGCAAAGAACAATGTGCGTTGGCAATGTTTTTATGACTTTGTTAAGAAACAACGCGGAGCGAGCGAAGGAGTCACTTTAACCCTCTAACAGACCTTACGTTCTTCTCACTCAATTTTCCCAACCTTTAACTGAAAGAATTGTGTGAATATCACTAGGGAGATTTGTTACGTTGATATTGCCACTGGTAAAAGAATTAGCAAATATCTCTCTAATTATCTAAAACAAGAAAGCATGGAAATTTCAATAGAATTGTTCTAAACTCGCTGTTGGCGGCAAATAGCGGAAAATATTCATCAATCATCCTTTCTTTGCATCGAGTGCATTGTTATTTCACCTTTTCTTCAAAGCCCAATCTTGATTTGACAGCGAACTCATAACTTCTTTCATTAAAAACACCCGTTGTCCTGATTACTCGGCTTCTTATGAATAACTTCATTTCCTTTTAATCTTAACAAGCCAAAAAACAAAATTTCACTTTGATGTTCGACTGAACAAAAATGATTTTTTCAAATTAACGTTTAGATACCTCTAACTAGATCGGTACTGAGTAATTAAAGAAACAACATTTAAGTCAAAATATTGGAAAGAAAGTCGCCGAGGTTTTTCAGACAAATGTGTTAATTATATTCCACTGCGATGAATATTCGTAAAACAACACGTAGTATGATGAACAGTCACATATTGAAAACTGTACAAATGTTTCTTTAATGTTATGGAAAAGAAAAATATTAGCGTTTACTGTTTAACACATAACAAGCACTTTTCAAGAAAGAAATTTTTTGCCAGAATCTTGATTATTGTGCAAGTAGAAAACGTGTGAGAAGATTAAAAACGTGAGAAGAGCTGACATCTTCAAGTGTTTTATATTGGAATTTATTTGCATCTTCGTGCTATATCATCGGTAAATACGTCTTCCTGTCTAATGGGGTCTTGTTATTTGTCGACTGCTCTTCGATAACGCTATTATCTCATTAATTAGGTTTCTGAGCTTCAGGAGAATTCAAGTGAAATAATAATATAGAAAAATACTTACGCGTGCTGGCTTGACGCATACAGCTAGAATATTTAGAACGTCTATTAATTATTTATTTATGAAAATGTTGAAATGTTGAAATTGTTTGAAAATCTTCAATGTTACCTACGTTAATACTATAATATAAATCAAGAAATTCAGTTACATCTGATATCGACCTTTTAGTGTGGGAATATAAGCCTCCAGGCAAAGCTGGACATTTTCCTGAGCCTTGTCCTATCCTGTCTGGTTATAACAATGCTCCAGTCTGCTGTTCTTTCAATTATAATCGAAGTTTACTTTCATTAGCCCTAATAACTATCATCAATGACAACAACAGCAAAATCAACAAATCATTACAGCACCACTGAATAGAAAAGCGGTGGGATTGCTTTTCTATACAGCTTTTATTCCGAGGCTGGTATCCATGTCAGTTATTAGACATCTTTTCTCTTCTCTGAGTGTGCAGGTAATTGTCTATAAGTTAAACAAAATAGGGATAATTAAGAATTGCAAAAAAGTTTCACTGATAAAAAATGGTGGATGAGTTGGATGGATTCATAATTCTGAAAAACAATTTTAAAAGAGGTTGTTGCAAAAATGACATTTTTCTATGTTTACTTTCAACCAAGAGTCTCTTGTTGCAACTGGATGTATGAAAATGTATAAGAAAATTCCACTATCACTCATCCATACATCTTCCGTGATATTATTATAATTAATTATTATTCTAGATTTTTCAGAAATAAAACCTCATCAAACTATTGTTTACAATATGAGTAAGGTGCAATTTCTAATATTGAAATAATTAAGCATTGAGTAAGTTAAAAAAAAAGTGTAGAACATAAGGAGAGAGCATTGGAAGAAGAAGTTATCTTGACGAGCACGTCCCACCTCGTTAAAACTTGTTTTGATAGTTGCAATTTGTTGAACTAAAATTGTGCAAAATTCATATTATTCGCCGCTGAAATACTTTTAGCATTCATTTTCGTCTAATTCTAAGGAACCATATAATACAAGCTTACTGAACACAAAAAGTAGTACGCACACGTGTTAATCGATTGAGATTGAAGAAGATCAATTAGGACGAATTATAAACGTCGAACTTGAAAAGATTATCCGCATAATTTCATGATGCTCCGTTCTCGGTTAGTTCCCTTCATGTTTGCTGTGAGATTCATCCCGTTATAGAAGCACAAGTGAAAGTTTGGGAGAACGAGAAATGCAGTTGGAACACGAACCGCAGGCGAGTGTTTCTACAGCTTTTTCGAGTTTTCCCAAACTTTCTCGAGTGCCGTTTATTTACTTCACTTAATTTAGAAAATGCTGCGATTATAATATAGGAGAGTAAGCCGTTTATTTCGATTATCAAATTGTAAATTCTCGTTACTCATGGCATCATTAATTACTTCAACAGCTTGACCTGGCTTTGTGTTTCTATGGGCCGGGAATCTTTTGTTTTTTTTCTACATTTTCTTCATTAGCATAAGCGATTCAGTTTCTGATCAAGCTACAAAAATATCAGTTCTGAATGTTAAAAGAAAAATTTGAATCCGAGATATTCAATATTTTTTGTACGACACGGGTTTAAAAACTCAAAATTTTACAAAGAATGGATAACCCGGCATTAGGGCTTTTGCCACTCAGAAGTTTTGCAGTTTATGAAAGCCCATTTCTTTCTAAATCTTACACCCAAAGAGCCAAAACTTTCACCAGTAGCTAAACTTCACAAGCTCTTTAATTGTTTCAAGTCAATTTGTATCTAAAGTGATACCTTCTTTGTGCAAAGTCGTGTGTTAATCAGGAAAAATGTAAACATTGGCGTCAGAAACGATCGCTCTTTTGAGTCTATGCAGTTGGTTTCCTTTCCTAGCGAGTTTTTTTTTCTTCTAAAATGACCTAAATGTGGCTGAGATCCACCCAAAAAACAAGTAAGTTACTGAATGTAAGGCTTCGACGAAAGTCCAAAATGAAACGCAAACACTGTTAGCAAACATGACTGCAAAAGTTGACTTTTTTTTCCGGAAATGGAAAATCGTTAGCATAAATATTCTACTAGACCGGAATATTAATTTTTATCTTTGTTTGCTGTTCAAACTTGGAAAAAAAGTAATAGAATCTTTAATGGACTGTAGATAAAAATTGAAATTACTCCCGCAATTTATCATTTGTTCGGATATTGATGTTTTGTAACTTCAAACATCACTATCAAAACTAATTCAGACATATTGCAAATACGAGATGAAACATTGACATTTATAGAAGGAAATTGTGTCTACTTTTCTTGTTTTTCCTCTGATATTTGCCGTCCAAGCAAATTTACCATTAAGAATATTTTAATGTATTGACGTCTGTAAGTAGGTCACGCAAATTGCTCGGAAAGTATTAAAACATAGATTTCGCTATGGCGATGAAATAAAACTAGTAAAATGCACACGCTATTTCATATTTGCTTGAACCAAGTTAAATATGTCTGACATAAGGTATTGACAGCTTTCCGGAAGAGGAATAAGGTTTTAATTTAATTGTTGTTTGTTTCCTTCTGTCCAAAACGGAATAACGAGTCTTATTAGAAAATGATCAGGAATCTTCGGCAATGTGCATGGCTCTTCGGAAAGCTTTAAACGACTCTCGGAGATTGATCGTCTACTCGGAAAATTTCGGAGGAGTAAAAGACAAGAAATACGTGTATGCCTTAGTTCGAATTTATCGTCTGACAAGCCTCGCTTACACTGGAAATCGGACTTTTTGTGCAGAAATTTGTAAGGTTCGCAGACTTGCCTAATAATATTCGGCAACGTTGCTTTGAAAATATAAAACCTGCCAATTAGTGTCTGAATTTCACTATTTATATCTGGGCTAGGTTGAAAAATATTCTTATCGTGTAAGTAATAACTGAGTAAATTCTGTAAATGGAACATTGCCGGAACCGATCTTTGTTCTAGACAAATAAACGTAGGTCGAGGAAGCTTTCTCTTATACAATTGCAGAAAAATCAGTCAACAATAAAGGAAATGCAGTTCAAAAACTAATGGGACAGAAATCTTGAGATTTTTTTCGCGATATACATATTGATTTAATTGAAATTTTCTATCTCATGTCAATAAAAGCATAAAACACGACAGCACAAATGTCTACTTTTTACTTTTAGTAATTACAAAAATGGTTTGGTAATTTTGGGCTTAGCAAGAGTCTGTTCTTGATTGAGAAAAAGAAGGTCTCACCCTGCTGGAATTTTCATGCCTTTTATATTTTATCAATGCGGAATCTAACAATAAGTACAATAAATATTCCTTTGTTCAGAAAGCACAAAAGGCTCTAAAATGAAATTTAATTTTGCTCATAGGAAGTGGGCTTGAATATAGACATCTGGATAATTTTTTATATTGATTTCTTGACGTGACATTTTGAGAACTGACAATTGAAATTGTTCAAAAGGAAAAATCCTGCTGGTTTGATTCAACCCTCAAATAATGACGAACTTTACACGAGATATCCGCCTATAGATAATTGCATTCGATAGCCCAGATGTGATCTTTCTCAGTGCCTGGTCAGACAGACATTAGAGAGAAATATATCACGACAATAACTCAAAAGCCTTTAGTGTTATAACAATTTTTCTTTCTAATTTTTAGCCTTGTATGAAATTTCCGAAAAATATAGATTTTTAATTCCAGCATTTTTAGTTCCGATTTTTAAATTACGAAGTCAACGTTGATCAGCGTAAATGCCAGCGTTGAAGTTGCAAGTAAGAAAAGCGCAGGTCTCAATACTTTCTTCAGGATGGAAACTCTTTTAATAAGTTGCATTTTTTTTTTTCAGTGTATTTTCCTGATTACTGCAACTCAGCTGACGATTGCGGATTTCTCTTCCTGCATCCCTGAAGGTAAAAAATTGTTATATGTTTGTTTATTTGTTCAGAGTACTAAGGCTATGATATTTCACTTATTACCTTTCAAATGAAAATTTTGCACCGCATAGCGACGAAAATTCACAAGTACAGTATCTTAGGAAATGGCTATTTGGTTAAAAAGATATGGCTATTTGTTTTCCAAAGTAAAAGAATATCGAAAGAATATTGTCATTCACAACTAAGTTTGTGAGTAGTCTTTCACGTTAATAAATAAAATTGAAGTACACCACAAGCCAGCGACCAAAATTTAAGAGCGTTTGAAAATTGTGTTTTGGTTGTGTAGCCCCGATAGACTGGAACCTTAAGAGAATATCAATGAACAATACGCTTATCCACAACTTAGTTGGCAAGGAATTTTCCATGTTTATGAAATAATGTTGGAATAAGGGCAACGCAAGCAGCTCGCAGAGAGAGTTTGTAAAGGAGAACTTGAGGGATCCATAAGATTTATTCGTTCTAATCTTCTCGTAGAATTCAAAAATTTCGTTATTTCACTCTAAGTACCTGAAGTCCCAAGGCCTCACTATATAGTTCTTAGAGATAAAAACAGCATTTCAAAAGGGTGGCTTTATTTTTAAAATTGTGAAACAAGTGTTTTCGATGTCGCTCTTTTATTGTTTCCATCACAAAACAGAGTATCGTGGAGTTAGACGGGAAATTTGGAGAGGGCTCAGTGGAGGTTGGTTCCTAACGCATCTGACGTCAGACCCAAGATTTCCCAACTCTCCAACAACAGTACAAACCATCCCCACGTTCACACCGCCGAAAAACGGCGACAAGTTTTATGGGCAGAGACTGCAAGCTTACTTTATTCCTCCCAAGAGTGGAAACTACGGCTTCCACGCCACCTGTGACTCTGAGTGTGCATTCTATTTAAGCGTTGACGAGAAGCCTGGGAACAAGAAAGAACTCATCCGGATTGATCAGCAGCACCGGACTGGGTACGACCAGTGGGACAGGTAAACGGCGCATGTCTTGAATTTACACTGTGGAAAAGAGATTTTGCTAATTAAGACGAGCTCTGCTTTCCTAGAGTAGACTAGACTAGACTTGGTAGTAAAACCTAGGGTTGACTAGACTAGACTAGGCTAGACTAGACTAGGCTGGAATAGATTAGGCTAGAATAGATTAGGTTAAATTAGAATATACTCGACTAGACTAGGTCATACTAGTCTAGACTAGTGTACGTCAGGCTAGGCTACGCCACTTTGGACTGGTCTAGTCTAGTTTCAACAAGATCAGACAAACGACTTAGTATTGTTCTTCTCAAATTTTTCCATTCTTTGGAGGACGTTCGGCTCGGTAATGGAAGACATCTTGATGTTTTCTTTTTTCTTTTTCTTTTAATCAGATATCCAGATCAAACATCTTGTTTTCAACAACTGGAGCGGGGAAAGTTGTATTACATAGAGGCCTTACACTGTAACTACGTTGAAAATGATCACGTGCGTATTCACGTCAAATTTCCCGGATCAAACACTACAAAGTCATTGGACCAAAAATACTTGTTTCTTTATTCGCCAGGTAATGATAACTATACTCAGTACAACTATGTAAATGATGTTTTATCCAACTTCTTACAGACAAAGCAAGATAAATAGGGATGGCGAATGGAAAGGTCCTTCAGAAAATGCATATGTCGTAGACTTTGAGTCAAATCTGATTTGCTTTTGCGAAGCTCAAAGCTTTCTTAATGTCTCAATAAGGAGATTGACATTTTTCTTAGACAACAATGATTTTATCAGAAAAATGTTTTGCCTTAGATATCAAGAACGCATGACACATTCAGATGCCGACATGTATCATAAGTAGTTTTCTGTCATATATTTCCGCAGGCTCCTCGGTCCAGACCACTTGTGTTCTACTAAGACGCTGTGGCGTCACTTGTGGCGGGGGACTGAAAACACTTATCACTACAAAAGAGGACCCTATTAATGGCGCATGCGTCGAGCATGAAGGCACAAACAGTAAGTTTAATAAGTAAATTCGTAAAAAAAATTATAACTGCTCACCTACAGCTCCTTCTATGCATAGCGTGCTTATGACTGCGGAGACTGCGTTGTTCAATATTTTCCTACAGAATACAGGCAAACACAGTATGAAAACCAGTATGAAGAACTCTGTAATAGGGCTTGCTGTCACGAAGGTTACATCCGATCCGGAAAAAGAATTTCCTCCAGATATTTATATTTCGTCATCGATAGTCCATAGTAATCTTTGCTCTTTTTTTGGTTAGTTATTACTAATTTGTTGTTTGTCTTTCTTAGCAATGATGTACGTAGTATCGTATCTTGAGGTTTATTGCAGTATTGATCATGATGGGTCATAGTGCAAGGTAGTTAGCTTTACTTGGATCTAAGTCCATTTAGAGAGCAGCGACAGTTTGTTAGCCAATGATGACTGAAATTGCGTTAAAATTGAGAATGCGCAGGACCAGCCGATAATACATCAATTACACAAAAAAAGTCTTCCACTTCTCTGACAATATTTTCCAATAGTCTCTTAAAATCAAAGAAAAGAAAAGTTACGACACATTTTTTTTTCTTGCAAGCTAAATATATCTTCTTGATCTTAGAGGAAGCTCCCTCTTTATATGTGGATGCCTACAATGTAACAACTTCGACAGCAGTGATAAGATGGCAACCACTCAAAAGAACTGAATCTGTGTTTGATTTCACTGGGTACAGAGTCAACCTTAAGTCCGAGAGAGACACCAGTCGAGTAACACTGGTGAACACAAACGTCAGCTCAATGTTTTTTGATGGTTTACACACATTCACTAACTACTGTGTGACGGTGGAACCGTTAACTGTTTTGGCAAGCACTTGGGCAGAAGACTGCCATGAATTTGTTACAGAGGATGATGGTAAGACAACTTGATTTATTTCAGATGTTTTGAGAAAGGCCTATTCTTCTTCGATTTCAAAAATACCTCCTCTATTTCCGTCCACACAGACTAATTAGTCTAACAAAAAACCTCCCCTGACATTTTAAAATATGCACAGTAGAGATAACAATAACAACAATGCTTTATTTACTCTTGACACTTAATACACATTTGCGAAGAAAATTACAATAACCTAGGGAACAGATATGTGTTTAAAGTCGAGCCAAGGGGATAAATGAACCTGGCGGTTTTCGAGATAAGGTAATTTAATAGCGTGCTGGATAACTTGAATATTCAAGCCGACTGTCAATGCACAGAGCTAGGATGATCTTTGGCACAAAGAAACAAAATTAAATATTGAAAAGTACTTATTTGAGGATGAGTCAGTCGAAACAGTTGGGGCACTCTTTAAGTTTTCAATTCAAATGTCTCTCGTTTTACAACGACATCACAGGACATTGCTCGCCAAGTTTCAGTGCAGCGGAACTGGATTGACTTGGAAAATTGAGAATTGAGATGGGGAAATATATTTGAAATTTTGTGACAACGCGAATGATCTGTTAAGATCCGAAATTGAAGCAGGTTACGGGTTTTTTCGTTCGAGAATTTATAAGCTAATCACCCTTGCAATTATACAACTAAAAGAATTTCTTTGATGCCTTAAGTTCCAGACCTGCCACCGCAGAATATCAGTGTAGAAACCACAGACCATTTTGCTATCACCGTGAGATGGAAACCGATTCCGGATCAAAAGCAGAACGGTATTGTCCTCGGATTCAGGCTGACGTTCAGGACTATGAGCGCAATTGGCCATTTAAAAGAGCCACGTGATATAGACTCTGACCAATGGCAACGCTTCGCAATTGTAGTGGACGACAATGTGTATTTTGTAGTCCAAGACGTAATACCTTTTACGTGGTATTGCATCAGGATGTTGGGATTCACAAGAAAAGGAGATGGACCAGAAAGCTCGTGTGAATTTATACTCACAGAGGAAGGTGGTAAGATCAAACAGTGGTGTAGATGTAGATATAATGGTAACACACATGGCCCATTGAACTTCCTTTGTTCCTGTTGTGATTATGATCGTTCGGTAACAATGTAACCCGATTTGGTCTAAACATGGAGTGAAAAATATGATGATATCCAAAAATAGTCTTTCAAGACAAGCTAAAGGAAAAAAATCGAGTCTAATCACATTTCGTCACTGCTCTGTAAGCATTCAGAAACTGTGCGCCAGTGAACTGACACGAATATTAATTAACCCATTTGTAACAAGGCTGGCAGATTAGTTTTCCTCCCGTTCTCGTCTTATTTATTTATCAGCATGAGGCGTTTAATCATGATAATCACATGATAAATTGCCTTCCTTGGAAATTTTCGTAGCACTTGAAAACAAGATTTGAAAAACTCAAATCAGTTTAATGAGTGAAAATTACCTAGTGAAAAAATTTTACACCATCTTTTTTAATTCAACTGAATTACATGCACCATAAAAAGCACGCGAAGGTTCAGTGAAGATGTTCAGTAGGTTAACGAAATAACTGATTAAACGTCTTTCTCTCATAGTCCCCAGCCGAGCGCCGGTTAACATATTAACCTCACCGATAAATTCCACGTCATTCTCTGTTACCTGGCAACCAGTACCTCTAGATCACGTGAATGGGATTGTTATTGGATACAAGATATTACTTGAAAACATGGATGACGCAACAGAGGTGTCAGTTGAGACTGCGCACGTCAATCAGACTATGACAGTGCTGAGGGAATCAGAGGCGGCCTCAAGATTCTGTGTGAGACTTCTGGCGTTCACAAGCAAGGGAGATGGAAAGAGGAGTGACTGTATTGAGGGGTGGACTTGGTCTGAGAGTAAGAGCCTTAACCCAGAGTTATTACTTACTAATTTTAAGTAATACAGTAGAGCCTCGGTAACTCGAACTCGGATAACTCGAAATTCCCCGCTAACTCAACCAAGTCCTATTATCCTTGGATTTGACCTCACTTTTCAGTCATTTTAACTCGGTTAACTCAAACACGGATAACTCGAAATTCCCCGCTAACTCGAACTAAATTTTGTTTCCCCTGATAAAAATTTACCCCAATAACTCGAATTCTGGTTCATGTAACTCACCAGGGATGTCATCCCATTAGCTTTTCTTGTCCTGTAATCGGTAAAAACACTCAAAACTAACACCACAGCAATTTGATTTTCATTAGTGCAACCGACCGTTCACATATTTGACAGTCATTTCCCGATCTTATGAGTCATACTGGGTGCGGTCCCTTTAGCTATCACTGTATACTGAAGTGCTGAAAAATCAGTAAACTATCAATTATTAACATGGCAAGTTGGATATTCAATCGACTCCGATAGCTCGAACCCCGCTAACTAGAACTGTTTTTCGTTTCTCTTCAGAGTTCGAGTTACCAGGGTTCTACTGTTTATCAAACACGAAATAACGTGTTTGACCACATTTCCAAGCACCGAGAAGAGAGTTGAATATAACGAACTTTGGGGTGTTTGATATATCTTCACAATTGAAACTAAAACTAAAGAGCAAACTGAGAAATAAAATCGTATAATTCGTACAATTCTATATTTGTAAAGATAGTAAAATTAATCATTCTCTAGCAAGCAGTGTTGCGCCAAAGTGGAATTTTTCTCCTCTGTCTCAACGGCTCTATGTTTCGTAGCCATGTTAACATCTTCACTTTTCAACTGCAGAAACTTTGTTTCCTAAAATGAAAGCCATCAATCACGGCAGCCCAACCGACATCACAATCACATGGGACAAACCACGTGACGGGGTCTTGAAACAATTAACGCATTATCACGTGACTTACGAACCAATCAGCATGGCTGGCCAAAATGTCACCAACTCGTCCCAGTATTCCGTGAACGTGAGCGCAACGTCGCAACATGTGTCATTGAAAGATCTGGCGACATACAGTACTTATGAGATTACTGTGAAACCTGTTATGAAAGATGACAAGATGGAAAACAAGAAAGTCATTTTCGCAAGTATATAACGATTTATCATTCTTCACTTTTATATTTAATTCCTTTTTAATGTAAGACTGTGTATGAAAAGCGCTTCCGCTCTACACATCCTTTGAATTGGGACAGATATGTGAATAAAGAGGACTTCAACATGGGACAGGAAACACTATGCAAGGAACTACTTCTTTGCCAGATCTCTGGCAGAGACAAACGTATTAGACAAAACTAAAAGTGTTAATTAGCGCTGCAATGAAAGGTAAAATAGGGCAGTTTTTATGGCTTATAATCTTGTTTGTAAAACCAGTCCTTTACATTCTACTATGCTAGAGCGTAGTACTAAAAATAAAATATTTTTAATTTTATCGTCGTTGTTTTTAGAATAATATCTCTAAGAGACGATATTGTAGCTACTAAATCTGTGAGGGATTCATCCATGCAGATTCGCAATTGCTCATCATTTGGTTCAATTTTTACCTTTCTTTTTTCTAGAAACTTGTCGCTGTCCACACCTTATGTTTGCCAACTGGGTTCCCAGTCCCCCATACGTCATCCAAGGCCGCAGTAAGCCTCGTGGTCTAATCCCAGAACTCCTCGCGCACATGCTTCAAGAATCTTGTGGCACGTGTTACAACTACAAGACGTGGAACATAAGTTACACCGTCAACACAACGGAAAGCATCAAAGAACCCGATCTCCGCTTTAAGGCTGACTTCCGTTTCCCAGTCAGGTCAGCAATTGGAAAGACAACCTACAGGGGCTTCCACCCTTATGTCCCACTCATAACCGTGCCTGGCGTGGCCTTGATGACGAGGAAGAAGACACCTTCAGGATATGCCCGAGATGTGGGGCATTCTGTGTTGGCGGGCTGGCCCATCTTTGCAGTTAGCATAGTGTTGGCGGTCTTAATTGGGGTTGTCATTTGGTTTGCGGTGAGTGATCTGAGGAAGGCGTGGTTTGTTGAGCAGTGAATCTTTGAGCATGCGTGCGTGCGAGCGTACGACAGTGGGAGTGCTCATGCGCGTGGATGCGCGCATGCGCTTCTTGCTCGGCCAACTACATCTAAATTGGAACTCTTAAATGTCTAAATTCCTGGGTCGCCTTGCCTCTGCTAGGAATTTATTTGAGGTACTCAGAACTTTAATTATAATTCAAATTCTTAGATTTATAAAATAATTGCTTCTTATTGTTTTGTAGAGCTCTAAGAGGTTAAAATTGATATTGTTTTTTCAGATTGGTATGTTCTCCAATTTATAAAGTAGAACGTAATGCACCACAGGCAAATGATGTAAAGTCATGCTTAAAAATAAAGTTAAATTTTATGTGGAAGTTGAAGTAGATGCTTCATTTTTCTTATATCCAGAGATGCACGCCTTGAGACTTACTTTATAACTGTTTTTGCTTCTTCAGGAATCTGAATCTAATGGTCAGCAATTCAACACCTATCGGTTTCATAAAGGAGTAGTGGAAGGCATTTGGTGGTCATTTGTTACCATGACAACAGTGGGGTAAGAAGAACTGTACTTAAGTCTCATTTGCTTTCTTACCCTCAAAATCTTCTCGGTCGTTTGACACAATCGGTTTTCCCTGCTTTGTTAAGTTTGATTTAGGAAGCAGCGTAGCCGAGTGGTTAGGGCGCCGGACTTGAAATCCGGGGGTTGCGGGTTCAGGTCCCGCTCTGACCACTTAACTGAAGTTGTGTCTTGGTAAACCCTAGTTCAACTCCTCATTCATGCTTGTAAATAGCCAACTGGTCTGCCTCCCGCCAGTCGCGATTTTTAAACCTATTATGTTTAGTTGATATATTTGTTTCTTTCCGTTTAAATAGCATGCCTGTGAACTAGCTAGGTGTAGCTAAGCGCGTTGACCACTATAAACAAGAGCATTTGAACATTTGAATATTTTTTGAACATGTCATCAGTTATTGCTTGTTTATTCTGCTAGGTATGGAGACAGATACCCGAAGACAATTCTGGGTCGTTCAATCGCCATTTTGTGGTTTTTGACCGGGATAGTGTTGTCCTCTCTTCTCATAAGCACCATCACTTCCTCCATGTCTGTGCGCATTCTCGACAAGCAATTGCATGTAGCCCGAGGAAAGAAGGTGAGCAGTTCTATTCGCAGCTTCTTAGAGAATTCTTTCTTTGTTCTCAAGACTGAAGTGTCTCTCTAGGCTTACTCAAATGCTTTGTTCATTATGACCGGTGAACAGGGGATGACCTTTTGCTCAGTGAAAGAAAAAGGAATGCTCTATTGATTCGAAAGTGAGAATAACAGTTGACTGAAGTTTGATCGTATTTTGACGTAAATGATGGACTGTACTTATTAGAGCAGTTTTCAACTGAGTGTCGTGAAACCAAAACCAAGGTAATCACTCTAGCCAATCACAAAGGACTCAGAAAATCCTGTGAATCAATCAAGATTCGAAGTAATTACATGTAGCTGACGCGAAGCGCGGGAAAACGTTTGCGAACGCGTCATGATTGGTTTTGGTTTTAATTCTGATTGGATGAAAAGTGGCGCGATATTTTTAACCTGATCGTGCAGCGCGGAAAGTGCAAAACCAAATACTTTATGACAGTCAAGTGAAAGCCGCCCTGTTGTTGTTGTTGTTATTATTATTATTATTATTAATTAATAATTATTCATTTTTGCTCGCTTTGTTTTGCATAAATGCGCATGGTATCAATAGTTACCGACGATTTCGCTATTCTTGCACAGGTGGGATCACTCGCTCAGTATCCGGAATATGACCTTCTCATCAGATTTATATCCAAAGCAGGAGACAGTAAGTCATTGACTATCCCATGTCCGCTTTTTCTGTGTAATGATCATCAACTTGAAGTAAATAAGAGTGAATTAGCTATCATTGGTAATTTGGCAAGGGGTTAAAGGGACGATAATATGGTTTGCGCATCTTGAAAAGTTTGGCCTTAATTTTTCATATTCGACGTTTGCAATCCGAGTTAATCTTCCCCATCCTTAACCATCCTTGTTTCTTTATAGTTTATTGTTATGTCTTTGGTGTTTTTCTATTTTAAGGTTTCCTTTAATTTAAATGTAATTTTGTAGGAGGCCAAAATAACTCAGAATACCGCGACTGAGCTCCTTTAATCACCCATTTTAGTTTTAAGTTGCTCGCAATTTGTCTCCAAGCACAATTGCGAAGCAGAGTAATGAATACGAGTCCGCCACATTCATTTTTATATCACTACTTCCCAGAGAAGACCGGCTGAAAACTGACAGAAACGTATGATTTTTAAAACCTATTTGAACCTCAGAAAAAATCAAACTCCGAAAACAAAGACAACATTTTAACATACAAATATGAGTTGAAAGTGTTTTAGATGCTGTTGAAACATCTTGTGCAATGCCACTTCCTAAGAGGGTTATTTTTCTTGCAAAGGCAGCATCTTCCCCACCCTTGAGAGGCTTGTTAATGCCTTAAGGTATGGCGAAGTTGATGGAATCTTAGTGGATCTATACACAGCACATTACAGGAATGACCTGTTTAACGTCACCTGGATAGTGGTCAGTCAAATAATTCCCTTTGAATTCACCTCTGGGGTGGTGGTCAGCGGCAATGCAGCAAAGCTTAAACAGCATTTTCGGGATTACATCGGGAACAAGAGCACCGTGGTTGTCACGGAAATACTGCAGAAAACAAACCAAGACAACAACAAGGTGGGTAAAGCTTGTCCGTTGTGACGGTGTTTTGTTGTTTACAAAATGCAAAAATATCCATTTAAGCAAACACTCTAAGGAGAATTTAACAACAAAAGGCTGTAGACTCATTAGAATTTGTAGTCGGACTTTATCGCTTCACCTTTTGCCCTCCCCTCCCTTCTGCTCCTCTTAGCTTCATTCTTTTCCTCTTGCTCTTGTTGTTAACTTTGTTGTTCCCGCTGTTGTTGGTCTTCTTCTTCTTGCTCTTTTTGTTCTTGTTCTTTTTTGGTGCTGTTGTTGTTGTTCTTTTGCCGCTGTCGTTGTTGTTCTTTGTTGTTGTTTTCATTGTTGTTGTTGCTCTTTTTGTTTTTGTTACAAATGTGTCTTATTTCAACAAGTGTGACCCATTTTTCTTACTGTGATCCATTTTTCAAAGTGTGACCCGTTTTTCCTAGTGGGAACCAATTTTTTTTAAGTCTGTCTCATTTTCTTTAAGTTTGATCCCTTTTCCGGATAAGACCCAGTTTTGCAAGTGTGATTCACTTTTTAAGTCTAAGTTATTTTTCCAAATGTGACCCATTTTCCCAACGGTGATTTTTTTTCCAAGTTTGAGCCATTTTTCAAAGTGTGACCCATTTTCCCAAGTGTGATTTTTTTCCAAGTGTGACTTATTTTTTCGAGTGTGATACTTTTTTCTAAGTGTAACTCCATTTTTCAAATTTGGCCCGTTTTTCGAAGTGTTACCATTTTTAACAAGTGTGGCCCACTTTTGTAAGTGTGACCTATTTTTCCAAGTGTAATTCTTTTTTTTTCAAGTGGACCCTTTTTTTTCAAGTGTGACCCATTTTTCCAAGTGTGACCCACTTTTATAAATATGACCTATTTTTCCAAGTGTGACCCATTTTTTTAAGTGTGACATTTTATCAAGATGTGATCCTTTTTTACAAGTGTGACCCCGTTTTTTCTAAGTGTGACTTTTTCCAATTTTGACCCATTTTTACAATTTCGACCTTTCCAAGTGTGGTCTTTTTTCCAAGAGTGACCCATTTTTCCACGTGTGACTCATTTTTTCAAGTTTGCCCATTTTTTGACATGCGAAACATTTTTCCAAATGTGACCCATTTGTCCAATAGTGACCCGTTTTTCCAAGTCTGACCCATTTTTTCAATTCTTACACTTTTTTCCATGTTTGACCCTATTTTCCCAGTGTGACGCATTTTTCCAAGTGTCGAGCTTTTTTAAGTGTGTCCCCTTTTTTCGCAGTGAGTTCAATTTTTTCAAACGTCACATGTTTCCAATAGTGGCACTTTTTTCCAAATATTACCCATTTTTTTCCAAGTGTGACCCATCTTTCCTGTGCCCTATTTTTCTAAGTTTGACCCATTTTTTCAAGTATGACCGATGATACATTTTTCCAAGTGTGAGTTATTTTTACAAGTGTGACCCGTTTTTCCAAGTCTGTCCCATTTTTTTATGTTTTACCCATTTTACCCTGTTGCTGTTATTGTTGTTGTTTAGGAGATCCCAAACCAAAATATACAATCTATACAATCAAACAAGATACCTCTCCTGGATCCAAGCACAGCTATCTATCGCGTGACTATCTTTGTATTGCTGGCTCTTCTCTGCGTGGCTGTATTTATGGGCATGGTCTATCACTCGTGGTATAAAGGAATGCAGAAACGTAGATACGAGATCCAAGGTATTGCCATAAAATTATAAGATTAAGCCAAAGATAAGCTTTTGTCATGTTGTGCTATTTTGGTGGAATTAGGACATCTAACGTGAACACGAATAAGACACCGCGTTTGATACGAGATGGTAGATAGCCAACGAGACGCTACGCGCCTCGTTGGCTATAATCATCTCCTATTCAACAAGTGCGAGTGGAATAATTGTTTTTCTAAAAACGCTCCCAAAATATAGAAAACTAAACTAAAATAAAAATAAAAACGTCCCAAAAAGAATCACGCGTACGCTTACCACATTTGTAGAGCATGGTGTAATGGGTCATGATCCATGATGGCTAAGCCAACGAAAACTCTCGAGTGTATTATCCAATGACCCAATTTTTAATGACGATGTTTATTCCACTGACTAAGAAACGTTATTTCTTTTTTATCAAATGTTTCTAGTGACAACGAGAAGACACACAAAGGAATACATCAAGGCGAAATTAGAACTACAGCAAATAGTAGAGGAGTTTTATCAACGATTTACGTTAACGTATCAACAACTGCGACTTAAACATCGCAAACAACTTGAACGTTTTAAAATGACTGAGACAAGAAACGGAAAAATTCTTAAACACATGAATGGAACCTGGGTCTAGCTAACCTTTTGAAAACAGAGGCTATGAGCGCCAAGGAGAGGCCATGTGCGCCAAAAAGAGGCTATGAGTTCCGTCATTAGTTTATTGGAATAGACCTCGAGCTTGGTCAGCGTACAGGATGTGTCCCGCGATTTGCAAGACCAGAGGTGGCATAAGATTTGAAGAAGAAAAGTAACCGTACGCAATCTGAAACTTTAACTTATAACAGCAGGTTGTAGAAGGCCATGGTAATTTTCGTCATTATGTAATTCGCAATCTACGCTGACCCACAGTAGGTCAAAAACTCTTCCTCCAGTCTTAAGAAATACCCTCAGTTTTACAAAAATGAATCTCTTCCGCTCGAACTTACGCCGAGCTTCGCGTTTCTCGATATTCTGGTAACTTGAAACCAATGAAAATTAATGCTTGAGCAAAATAGCATTGTCTTGAACTTCTTCATCTTGCTTTTATCTTAAGCTTTGCATGAGTCAGTTTCTAAATTACTGGTGAATTCTGATCTGGCAACCTCGTTTTACCTAAAAGTTAAGGCCCCACCAAATGGTAACGCCAATCCTGAAAACTTGGATTGTATCAGAGGTTCGCATTGGTCGGCAGGATATACAGCATTCTAGACGTCCAGTCTATGGGGGTTTCAAATGCAAAACACCTACCATGGTTACATATGTCTTTTGAGCAGGGCGGGAGGGTCATATCGAAAGAATGGGGGGGCTTAAGCAAAGTGCAACGGCAGTGGCAAGGAGAACGTCAGCAAACAAAAGGTCTAACAAGTGGAACAATGGCTGTGCAAGTGAGTTATAAATCTTTGTGTACGCATTTCTCAGTCGTCCTCTGCTAAACAAGTTACAAATATAACTTACAGTACTGGCGTAGTCACGTTAACAAACGCTTCCCGTTACTAAGACGCGATAACCTACCTAAAATGTTCATTATACAGTAGATCTGGTCTCTGTGGACAACGGCTAACTTCGATCTGGGCATTTTCTCCTCTAAATGCCCTAATTATGTAACTCGGTACAAAACATGGAATCGATAGCTTTTGTAAATGCCCAGACTTTCCGGCGCCAGTACATCTCTCAAATAGTAGCATACTTAGATGTATTTGACTAGGGTAAGCCACTAAACTAAATAATGAAAAGAATCTGTGAAGCCAAAAATGACGAATTCTTAATCAATATATAAGTTTGAACCCACAAAGACTAGCCAGGGAATTTATAAAGATCAACAACAAGTTTTCATTTTTAGACCAAGAGACTACAATAACTTTTACCAATTCACGGTTCTTTAGTTGTTTAAGTTGTTAGCTTAGTAAAAGACACAACGTGACCACTTGAAACCACTTAAAAACAAAGGAACCAGTCCACATTAATGGCAATTAAAGCTAAAAGGTGACATCCTGAGCAAACAATTTCTCCAACAACTTAAAAAGTTTTATCGAAATGTTGCTCAGACATATGACACTCAATGTTAAAGGGAATAACAAGGGATCACAGAAGAACACTTAACAGTAAGAGAAATAATGTTTAATATTTAAAGAAGCAGCTCGTCAAAAAAGAGAAAAATTGATTACTGGACAGAAATAACACTAGACAAGAAGAATGATACAATGGGGAAAAAACAGCTGAAAATTAGGAAACATGCTGTTAAAACTTATTTTACAACATCTCAGACTTCCTTAGATTAGTAGGACTCAGTAACAGTACATAGTTGAATTTAGTTTGGCTGTCTTTCTGAGGAAAAAAGCTAAAAAGCTGGAAATTATTACTTGCTGCATCAGCGTTAACCCACGTAAGATAAGTTCGCAAAAATGTAAAGATGAACAATAACAACGATCAAAACTGCATACTACATTTGTCAGTATGAAAAGGTTGGTTTTTATCTTCAAAAGGTGCAATCAGTAATGGTAACGATCTGTTTTCTGTTCTTGGAATAACATTTTGCGTCCGGTGGTACTAGTTCTTGGTCTTAAATTCTTCAAATCCGCGAAAAACTCTCTCACACAACAGCCTTATAAATAGACGCTTTACGTTTTGCTCCCAGATCGCGGAATCAGTTTTGCAATCAGTCAGTGTTGTGGCCCGGGGAGACTCCTAGGTGAAACTGAAGGGGCGGGGAAACATGTTGAAAAATTTAAATCTCAAACAAGTCCTTCCTCCATCCCCTTTCCCCTCCCTCTAGCGGAACTCAGGAAGTCGTGCGCTGCGAAATTTTGAATTTGCTTTCTTTGCTAGGATAAGTAACAACACTATATACACAATATAGTTCATTACAGCTTTTCTTTCTTATCTACCATTTACGGAATTTATTATGTGTTTCATTTTATATCCCGCTTTTATTTTCATGTGTTCTGGCATCGTTTTCATCCTTCGTATCATTGCTTGAGTTTTACTTGGGATCTGTGGAGAAAATGAAACACGCAGAAAAACTATTATGCCTCGTGCTACTGTTGTCCCGTGCAAGGTGTTCAGTTTGTTAGAGTGCATGTAACGTTGGCAACGGCAAGCCGGCAAAAACTTCAGGGTAAATTGTTGCCCTGTGAATAAACAAACGTCCACCCTCGGGGAGAGGTATTCCCGATCATGGCCTATTTGGACAGGCTCCGCCCGAAAGGGGTTCCTTTCTCAGGCTTCAGGTATATCAACGGGTAGGGATTTCACAAGTTGAGGTATATAAAAGGGTAGGAAAATCGGAGTATCTTGACTCTCGTCAAGAGCTGAACAAATAATACTTGTTTTTTGGTTCACATCTTTTCTTGTAATGTTCGACGATCTCCCGTAATATTGTTCATTAGCTTCATTTCAAGGGCTTAGAAAAGGATGCAGTGTAGGTATGTGAAGGGGGTACCTTTTTTCAATAAAATGTATACGAAAGAGGTAGCTTTTCTGTCAAAATGGTACACAAATGGGAAAGGGTCGGAGCCTCCCCCCTTAAAATTGTTTTAGAGTACCCCCCGGTAAACGTTAGGATGAGGCAATTAGACTGTTTGCTACATACTTTTCTAAATAATCCAAGTTTCAAGTTTGGAGCCACTGAGTTCGTAGCGATGAACGCTTGTCTGGATGTACCTCGAAACGCGCTTTCTAACGGAGACAACGATGAAGCGTCTCGGCCAATCATTCATCTTCAGTGAGTACAAATGATTACAGAGACGGAGACAACGTTAAGCCTGGCTCGCGAAGAGATCTTTTCCGGACCAGACAAATTTAAAGAAAAATTTAGAAGCAGTGTTCGCTGGCGTGGTGTTGTGAGCACCCTTATTTCTGCGCATAAGCTTTATTCTTACGCCAAAAAATCCAATAACAGGTAGAAACACGTCGTGGAGAGGTGTTGGGAGGTGATAAATTGTAATTACCGAGGTAAACAACAAAACATCAACGCGGTGTCTTCCTCTGATCCTCGCCAGAATTAACTGCTCTCTGCTCACCTGCTTAGTCTTCGCAGATCTTGACACAGTCAGCCCAGGGATATTCGTATCCTGGAGGGTAAGAAATCCACTGGTCAGGGGTGTGATTGTACAGGTAGGATGGAGCATGTGGTCTTTGTGGTAGATATCCTTTATCACACGCGATCACACACACTTGGTAATCCCACGAGAAGCAGTCGACGCTGCCATGAGCTGGGGCCGGTGGGTTGTCTGGTCGAACTGTTAAACATTGATCAGATTAAATGCGTCAAGTAATGTATCAAATACGATAGACGAAACAAACACCGATAAGAGAGAGGGTTGTCCAATACACCCAAACGGGTACGATTCGTCAAAAGCCCGGTCCTCACCTACGACGCAATCATAAGCATAATTATAATCATAAGAAGCTTATGTTCTAGCAGGGTCGGCGCCGGCCGGACATATGTGAGCATAAACATAGGCATAAGAATATCAAAACCTTGCGTTCTAATGCTTAATGGTTATGCTTATGTCGCTGTTATGGCCAGTGGGGACATGGCTGGCATAAGCATAAGCATAAGCGAAGGAATATCAGCCAAGCAGCGATCGCGTTATGCTTACGTCAGCCATGTTCTCACTGGACATAATACCGACATAACCATAAGCATCAGAAGAACGCTAATGCTTATGCTTATGTCGCAGCCATCTCCACTAGCGCATAAGCTTCTTTTGTTTATACTTATGCTTATGCTTGCTCGCAAGCGAGGACCGGGCTTAACTAGCGATACGATCACGCCGATCACGCGTACGAATGGTTGACGATCTGTTATCCGTCAAATGGAAGAATAAACATGCAGTTGGTGCCATGCATTTGTACGAAACTTGGCTGTACAGCTGTAGTCGACCATACCGGCGTTGACGATTCGTCAAATTCATGCCATTATTGCAACTTAGAATCGAATATTTTGTTGTTTCTGTATGGATGGTACGAATCGTACGTCGCCAGTACCCGTTTTCTTATATTTGACATACTTACAGAGCTCAAGAAAACCACGACGGTAACATTAACAACGACAACGCCACCAAACAAAAGGTTTGAGGAGTAAAACAATGACTCCGCGTTTTATATCTTTGTGCATTTCTTTGCCCTTCCCTGCACAACAACAACGTGAAATGACTAAGTTCGGCATATTTTGGAGAACGCTGGCGTTATATACTTAGCTTGAGCAAGTTCTTAGACCAATAGGCGCACTGAACAGATGTAGACAATTGCGAAATTCGTAGGCAACATATAAATTCATTTTTTTCTAGGCGTTGTCCTCTGGGTCGTCGTCCCCATTGCTTAAGCTCTCTAATATTTTGATGAAAAGAGGAAGACAAGAGAGTTGAAAATATGACGCATAGCGAAGTACTTCAAGGTGTTTGAAGTAATATTTGTAAGTATAAATGACGTTATGATTTCAAGGCGTGTTATAATGTAACGAAACTCAAAGGAGGGAGCGCCAACCCACCCGTGCCTTGTACAGTAGACCTTTTTAGCTTGGGCAGTTTGTTTTCCCATTAAAGACCACGTGATATTCTTATGAGAATTGTTCTTTTATCCATCTTAAAATTATTCATTCATACACCTGCGACTAAATTTGAAAGCGAGAATTCTCAAGAGTATCATCACATGGTCTGAAATGGGACGACAAATCGCCCAAGCTAAAAAGCTCTATTGAGGCCGACGTGCCTTTGTATTTACATTGCAAGAATAATGTTCAAGTTGTAATTAACTACGATCTTGCAAGGGATGGCGGTCCAGCAGACAGAGATAGTACCGCAAAGATAGACAGCAACACAAAGAAGATATTTGTTCATTGCGCTCTTCAGTGACTCCTGCTCAGTGATCAGATCTGAATCATCAGGTGTATTACACGGATATCTCGTGCTGTGGGCTGATTAATGATTAAAAACAGCATACATTGTTACAATTACTAATGTTGACTGCTGCAGAACAACAGCAAAAAAAATTACAAACAGCTAAGCAACTGAAATCCTATTGTACTTTACGCCAATGTTTAATAAAACTAATTCGAAGCGAAATTGTTGACAAATAGTTTGAAAAACACCTTATAAAGTACCTCCAGCTTCACTTTGCGGTTTGTAAGCCCGACGTGTTAAGAAAATGAAAGTGTTTAGGTGATTTTTAGCTGTTGTTTTTTCCTCACTTTATCTGCTTATTATCAAAACCATCCTCTGTAGTGAAAAGTGACGACGTCACAAGTGGTTCAAACAAAATAATCCCTCAGGGCACTAGCCTGCGTACAGTCTGTTTTTCTCCCGAAATCAGGGAGGGAGTATGGGGCGAGTTACATGTATTGACCAATCAGCTACTTCGTTGCTTGGCGGATGGAGGTTTAAAAATTTCAAGAGTCTTTTTGCCCGTTCCGCAATTTTTGCGTTTGTGTTTACGGAACAAAACTATTTGGGCCCTAAAGGCTGGTTTTCACTAGCGACGGAGTCATAGTCGGAGTCGTAAACAGAAGCGCAGAGCGATACGATCTAGTGAAAATCAAACTGATGGAGTCGGAAGCAGAACACCACATCTGCTTATGACTCTGTCGCCTATGGTCCAATGAAAACTAGATTGTCGGAGTCGGAAGCAGAAGCGGAAGAATAAACCAATCACGATGTTCGTTTCCGGGCGTTGTGATTGGTTGGTTCTTCCGTTTCTGCTTCCAACTCCGACGATCTAGTTTTCACTGGACCATAAGCGACGGAGTCGTAAGCGGAATAGGAAGAAATGGAAACGTTCTGATTCTTCCGATTCCGTCTAGCTTATGACTCCGCTTATGACTCCGATTTTCGATTTTCACTAGGTCATAAGCGCTCTTACGACTCCGACGACGACTCGGACTCGGACTCCGTCGCTAGTGAAAACCAGCCTTATAATTAAGAAAAGCGACCGGCTGCAAGCTATCTATCAGGACGCCTAGTCAATGGAATAAACTGCTAGTTTTGGATAGCCGCCGAGGAACTCAAAGGACTTCAACTGTGGGCTCCTGATTTAATTAACATGTCATGGTTACCGAATGTTAAATGTGGAATGTGTCATATTACCTCTAGTCATGATATCACGACTAATCACAGGTAGGCGAGTTAAGTTTTGCTTGACTGGGAGGCGATCGGATTAAATTGTTTGGTGACGAACTCGTTTGGCGGGGAATAACATTTATGTGATTTTCTGTAAACGTGTCCACCTCGCAAGAGAAAATATTCTCTCAAGTGGATGGTTGACTTTTCAAAGCTTTCCGACCGGCGAATTAAGTACAAATGGCGTGTTGCAGTGACTTCAGGTAACTGAGAAACTGAGCGGTCCATCCGAAGTTGAAACTCTTCTGCAACCTTTCTATTCCATCGAAATCAGCAAAGATTCCCTGGATTGATGAACGCATCCGTACTCTTCATAAAGTGAATCGTTATACATAAAGGGAGGATGTTAGATGCCCCACCAACCTTTCAGTTAATAAGAACGTTGGGCTAAGAACGTCGGGCTAAGAACATACCGGCACAAGCTGAGAATTAACTAAGAACGCTTTCCCCCTCGCTTTTGAAGCAGGATCTTAATATAATACTCCATTATTTCTCCCTAAAAATAAAACACAATGTAGCATTTGAAATATCACAGTCCCAGAAATTCCGGTGTTGTATCGAAATTCACTCCAGTAAAAAGCTACGTCGAAACACAATTTCACGATTTGACTTATCTATTTATTTGTGGAAGTAGATTAAATGAATGACTTCTTTTAAGTTCGATTTGTTGATAGGTCATTTTATGCAGCCTTGTGTGTATGCTGCCGTGAAGAGCTGAAAAGGCTCTGAGAAAGAAATTAAGCCATTTTCCTTCTTTGCATGGCGTTCGCGGGAACCTGCACCTAGTTTAATTAATATTGCAAAATTATGTTCATATATTTTCTTACTTAACTGGAGTCTTCTCGTTAGATCTTTCCCTTTAAAGTCCGGCACTCTTCCCTGATAACCTAAGCCTTCGTTATTAGTGCCTGTGGAATACTGATGGCGGCTTGCGTGCTCAGTCCATTAAGATGTACTAATTATGAAACAAGGGTATGAAATCGATAGCTTAAAAACCCGGGGATACTTCCCATTGTGGCCTATACGCGAACTCTTCGCCCAAAACGGGTACCTTTTTCAGGTTTTAGGTATATAAAATAAAAGGGTAGGAATTTCAGCCGCTGAGCCATATGAAAGGGTAGGGAAATCTGTTATCTCTTTAGTTTAATTAAAAATTTCGAACAGACGCACCTATTGGCGGTATCATTAAATTTATTATGCACTGCATGAAAAGGTTTCCTTAGTTTTTTGGCGAGTGTCCTTAATGCGGGCCGGTTATGAAAACGCGCGAAAGGGGTACCTTTTTTCAATGAAAGGTGTAAAAAAGGAGTACTTCTTCCGTCAAAATGTTATACAGAAGGGTAAGCGGTTGGACCTCTGGGCGGATACTCCCCAGATAAAACTTTGTAGAGTACACCCCTCCCCCGGCTTAAAACTACGAAAGGTCCAATGCTACAAGTACCCCGCCTTACCAGCGTCTTAATTTACATTTAACAAGGTAGGCGTCTTAATTGATCTTATCGTTTACTTAAAATATAGAACGCCGAGCTTTAAATTAGGAATGGGACTAACCAGAGAGTGTGTATAGAAATGAACAGCGCCAATCTGGCAGTTTTAAACAAAAGACGACAAAGTTTACTAAGTGGTGAAGACAAAGCAGATTTTTTAAGTTGTTGCCTGATCGGTATAACCTTGAACTTGATAATATTATGAACGACACTTTCGTCAGTAAAAAGAGGCAAAAACGTGGCAATTTAAACTGACCTCTTAGTACAAAAAAACACTAAATTTCATGTCAGATAAAAGCGAAGACTTTCAGAAAGGTATCATCTCCTTCACACGCGTGGTGTTAAGTTGCTACGTGGAATCGTTGGCAGCTCTGTTACCTACAGTACAGCCCAAAAATAATGCACGCGCAAGAACTTCTTTCTACGTCCGCAAGCCGGCAACGTCCTGCGGCTTCTTGCGGGTCACTACGGCTTGGTCATTCCAAAGCGTTTACTTACAAATATGGCTAAATTAGAGTCTTTTACCAGAGTCTTACAAGTCGATGGGGAAGACTTTCAGTTGTTACCGAGGCCATGCACTTAGTTTCCTAACTTTCTGGATGGCACTCGAGTTCTAAAAGGACAGAACATGACCATTTACAATCAAGAAATAAATTCAAAAGGAAAAAAGCTTACGGTCAAATAAAAGTGACATTTTAGGCTAGCACTTTTCTCCTAATAGATGCATAGTTGAATCGAACTATTTGTCCTTCGACATTATCTGTTCCTCAAAGCTCACAGTTTTCCTCGAGCTACGCTCTCGGAAAACTGTTTGCTTCTCGGAACAGATGTGCCGCGGACCATGAAATATCCGAACATATTTTCGCACCAAATGGAGACTATTGTTTATTTAGGCAACAATAAGTGATCCCTATTAGATATCTGAGGCTGAAATTACCACTTTCCATAAATGAAAATACATATTTAAAACGACTTTTTACGGAAACCGGCGAGAATTTCATTAAGGAAAAGAGCAACTTTTTAAAAAATCCAAATTTAATTTCTACCAAGGAACTTGAATGCACCTATTTAAAGAAATAGAAAAGGCAGCCAATTGAACGTGACTTTCCGTGCTTCAAGGCATCACAATTATGTTTTGATAAATATCAAGACCGGCGGCTGAAAAATTGACAGTAGTAGTTTACTTAGTTGTTTCAGCTCAAGGAAAACAGCACATGCGTAATTGTATTGTTAATGTTTACAAGTTTGAATTATACTTCTAATGTGTAAGCGCGCGAAGTCTAAAAATAGAATGCAAATTATTGGAACCCCACGAGAGTCAGACAACATGGGCGTTTTCTGAGAGAAACAGGAGGAAAATGAACGCCAAATTTCCGTTTTAAAAATTGTTTTAGGAACCCTTGCTTACGCGCTTGAAAAAGCTTTAAATCTTCCACCATTCCGTTGTCTGAGTTTGTCTGAGTTATGACGTCACTCGCGCGCTTCGCTGCAATAATAAAGATATTTTAACAGGGAGCCCACATATGTGGTTACGTTTCCAGAAGGGCCGTGCATACCTAAAAAGCTAAACGTTAAAAGTCCAACTATTCTGCAGTTACAAATTTAACGTTAAGAATGTATAAATTTTAAAATAAAATTATAAAAATACTCATAAGGTGTCCTTTGAAATGTTGGAACTGTTTTAAAGATTGGGTTAATTAAGACTTAAAGTAGAGTGTACATTTTCATGTATGAATTTCTGAAAATTTATTTGATTTATGCCACACGAATAAGTTCTCGTGTATATCATATATGTTAAGGAAGGTGCCTACTAATTGTAAAGGCTTTTGTGCCAGGTTAGGACCACGCGGAAAAAGCAGATCTTTGCAAAGGTTATTGGAATCAACAAAGAAAAATGGGGGTAGCCACGTATTTTTTCGAGATAATTAGCCTTGAATCTCAACAAAAATGCTGACATCAGCATTTTCCTGAAAAAAGAAGGAAATGATATTTCTTCACAGATTTCCATAGAATTCGCCTTTACATACAGAAACGCAAACACATTTAAAAAGATCTTTAAACTACATGGCAAATGGTAACAAAATGAAAACATTTTTGATGTTTTTAATAGCAAAATAGTTGCAAAAGCGCTTTTAGCGTATCTGACAGCCTTCCTCTGGTTCAGCTAAAATACAGTCTGAATACCTTTTGCTCACAACCAGAAACTAATCACGTATTGAATAGACTTGCCACTTCCATTTCATACCGTAAAATGTAGGGGTAACCATGCGTTTTTTAAAGTTATTGATCTTTTTTGAAAACTTTTACGGTGCCCGTTACATTTTTTCCTGTCACCTCCCGAGTAAGTAAGACATTTGCGTATCTCGCACTTGTTTTGCGCGCGCACTACGCCATCTGCAGGTACATGTTTACAGTTGGATTTCAGTTTAGTTTTCGACAGATAACAGCTAGATTTTCAGCTGGAAGACGTAAACAGTTAGTGGTTAGCGATATGTTGCTATTCTGGTGTTCCTGGTTTAAGTACAGGTTCATTTAAACTTGATTTGGTCAAAGTAAGAAAATTTTGCTTTAATTTTAGTCGTGTACGTGATAGCCTAGTTGATTGCGTCAATGTCAGCCCCAGCGCGCGCACGGAGCTAAACTATTTCTTGCGTGTTCGCAGAATGTGTGCGCACTAACAAAAGTAGGGACCGTTATCTATGGATCTGGTACCCAGGCGTCAGAACACAAGAGAAGCGAGAAATGGGTTTGTCTCCTCTGACATGACTTCGAAAAGCGAAGTTATTTTGACATTATCGATTTGGCCACAAAAAATATTGTGAAATGCAGTGGGAATCCTTGCCAGCGGCTTGTTTCCCCTCAGCATTTCATCACATTCTCCCAGACTGTGCCACTCTTGTTTTCAAAACTCAATACATACAAGGAGACTGTTTTATATTTCTTAAAAATAACATACCGTAACCGCAAAAAAAAAAAAAGAAGAAAAAGAAAGAAAGAAAAAAAAGAAAAAAAAATCCAGTGACAATTGTAATGAGAGTTCAGAGGTAATACAAAACACACTTTCGTTCAACTATAGGTGTTTTAAAATCACTTGAAATCGTCAACAGTTTTATTCACATGAGAGCAATATAGTTTACTTTATTTACCTAGTAATGTATACCTGAACTGGCATATAGATATATCCTTTATACAAAGTTTGGCCTGCGGGTCGGGAAAACGTGTTCAACGGTCTTCGACCTCTCACGTAACCGGAACCTGCAGTATGCGAAAGCGTAACATAATAGATTTATATTTTCACCAATGTCTGAAAACGTGCACGCTATTTACTATGTATACCTGTAAGCAATAAATACACTGAATAAATCAGGCCCTTCGCCGTAGGGCCCTACTTGTAGAATAAAAAATAAAATTCTTGAAATTTCAGAGCTGATTTCGCTCTACTCGTGATACACTCCAAACACAACACCCACAGCAAACAATGTCTCGTTCTTGAAACTCTCAGAGACAAATGTATCTCGTTCAGTGTCCCAAATGGAGCGGCTCGCTATTCTAACATCTTGTCCTCTTAGCTGTCCAATAGTCACAGAACAAACAAACTTCAATCGCGAATACCCCAACATCTTCAAATCGCTCATAATAGAGTTCGACATGCCCTTGGCCAATTCTCTACACAGCTTGGGATCGTATGTTTGTGATTCTAGCGACTGTAGATGTTGCTGGATGATGCTTCTAACTTCTGCGGCGCTAAATCGTTTGTCTGGCGTCATCTTGTAAGTATTTTCAGTGACGGCGGCCGCTCTGGGACGAGCGGAATGCGTCGATGAAGACGCTTGTTCAAGATTACCAACCGGGCACGAGAAGTAAGTCATGACAAAGTTCCCTTTATGCGGCGGAATTTTCGGCGCTGGGATGAACAAACTCGAGGCGCTAGAACTACTCCTGCAGCGGCGTTCTTCCATGATGTTATAACTCACAGCGTTAAGAGTTGAAAGGTGAATCGTTACCACAACAGACGGTCTAAAGAATTCCCCGTCAGGTTGATATGTAACACCCTTAGTGACCCTTAGTGACAAACAACCACAAACGGATGGAAATTTGATATCGCAAGCATAACGCCTGGCTCAGTGTAGAAGGGTATTCGATGGCGAACAAACTGTTGTTTACCGTCCCAAGTTCAAGTTTTGGCTCTTTTATCGTTGCTTTCGTTGTTATTACAAGAGTGCGAATTTCACTGGCTTTACGCTGGTAATCGAGCCTAGACGCGCGTAAAACAAACTAGAAAAAAAAGTACGTATGGACGGTTGTAAACAAAGAAAAATAGAAGTGGTTTCACACCCCGAGGGGGGGGGGGGGNTCTGGGTAGGGATGTGCGGCTAGGACCCTGGAACCCTTAGCCTAAACCAGAGCTAGTTCAGCTGAATTTTGCTACCCTATACTAGAGTAAACTTCCCAAATCCCCCCATCTATTTGACACTGTGGAGACTTATTTGCGTAAATTTAAACTAACCGATTTGATCTTTTTAAATTTTTGAGTGGCAATTCCTGGTTTCCTTAGTCTAGATAAAATCTTCAACCAGCTGGTCGGTTTTGCAAAAAATGATACCCTATTCTAGACCCAAATACTCTGATTTATATACCCTATCCTAGAGTAAACTGCTTGTAAACCATACCGTTCACTGCAGCACATAGCTATATAGCCCTTATATGACAGTGCCCCCTCCCCCCCGGGGTTTCACACAATCGTAGGGGTGCTCGATGCAAATACATGTAGAGCGAAATACACTGTAGTTTCCATCTCAATTTGTATGGACAGCTATAAATAACTAGCAAGAGTCTGAGAAACTTTGACCCACATTCAAGCCCTCCTTGAATTTTCTCCTCTACATTTTTTCGCAAAAGAGAAAATTTATCTTTGAAGACATATTGTTACAGTTATCAAAACTTAGGATATTTTTCAGGATAATTTTGTGTGCGTTTCACCTTTATAATGACACAACCAATGATGGGCGTTGCCAAATGCATGTGAAGGGTGTCTCGAAAACTCAGACCCTAAAAACACAGGTCCGAAAAATTGATTGCTTCAAGACGTCTTGTTCACTGTTTAGTTTTTAGCTTCTGAGGTACGAACTTTCAAGACACCCCAGATGTAAATTCACTTTTCGGACTTGCATGTACGGGGTTTCAAATTGACTTTGAGGCAAAACGTTGGTCAAGTTCCTGCCGATGACAAATAAAGAAATTTGTTTTAAGGCAAACGAGGAAGGTAACTTCTTCAATTGCTTCTACTGGATGCATTTCCCGGGGGGGGGACTCCCATATAAAAAGGACGGGGGGGTGCTTGTCATACCTTTTAGGGGTTAAAAAGTGGTTTTGGCACCTCTTTGGGTGTTCAGCCTCAAAAGGTCCACAGCGGCAGCTTTAGCGGTACCTTTCAGGATACTGAGCCGAAAAAAATATGACAGGAGATAATGTGTTGTTTTAAATTGTTACCTCTCAGGGGAGAAAACAATTTCAAGTCACGCCCACAAAACAGGATCTTGGTGCCTCTTAGGGGTTCTTTTCAAAATTGCCGACAAGCTCCCCCGTCCTTTTCATATGGGAGTACCCCCCTGGATGTATTTATACCACATGAAGTGGATGGAAAACTGATAAATATTGTATTTTATGTGTTCTTCTGTGACTGAGCATCAATAACTTCCATCATCCAGAGTGCTTCACTGTGAGGGTAATTACTGAGGTCAGCAATCTTGAGCACTTTGATGCAAGGACATTGTGTTTGATCTTGAGTACCAATTGACCTCAGTTGCCCAGCAACCATCATATACATCCCTATAATGACACAGAGATTAAAACAACCATAAAATCAGCAAAGGAATTAGCAGTACTTCACAAAAATTCTAATATGTAGCTTTAAAAGTTTAAAGATGGATTAAATAGACAAGAAACCTTTTGGCATTTATTTGATGTTCAAAAACATTCCCAGATCTGATTTTTGAAAGGAAACATGACAACACAGGAGCCATTCCTAATGGTGCTTGGAGCTTAATGGGCTACAGAAGGAAATTTTGCAGATTTTAGACCAGGGCACTAGGACTATCAGTGGAGTTCCTTGCCAACCAGTTTAAAACGATGGGCTAGAAAATGTTGAATGACAGCTGTCAAATATACTGAGTTACAACCAAGGTGAGAAGATGCAGTGGTGTGATGGGTAGTGCAGTGGACTCTGGATTAATTGGGCCAGGTTTGAGCCCTCGCCAGGGTCACTACATTGTGTTCTTGGGCAAGACACTTAACTCTCACACTGTCTCTCTCTACCCAGGTATGTAAATGGATACTAGCAAACTAAATTCTGGGGGTAGCCCTGCAATGGACTCACATCCCAACCAGGAGAGAGTAGGAATATTCCTGGTCACTTCAAGCCCTGGAAAATGGATATAAGCCCTGCAGAAGGGGGTACTCCCAGAAAAATCGGGGGAGAGGGGGGCATGTGGCTTGCTTTCCAAATCCTTACCCTAATTATGAACAAGATCTGCAATTTTCCCTACCCTATTTATGACCTGACCAAAATTCGATACCCTGTTTAAGACATGACCCTTAAATCAATACCCTGTACTCATGTTTCAGACCTGTCTCATAATTAGTTACCTAGTTCACACCGATGTTATAGGCATTGCAAAGGGGCTTTGTTGATGTCATGGTCTTATCAATAAAGATGAAAAAGTAGCTTAGACTTATAAAAACCATAGTTACCCATATTGCAAAAGTACAAAAGCCATACCCTTTTTGAGACCAAAATGGACAAAATGAATACCCTATTTCTGACCAAAATGCCTAAAAAACCATATCCTTTGGGGTCACACACACCTGTATAGCCCATATAAGGGAGTTACCCTGCTCTCCCCAGGATATGAGCACCAGTTTAACTTGGGCTTAATTGTGGTGTTAGTACATCCTCAGGCAATAAGTAGTATTTCCACTTCCTAGCAATGGATGGTTTACTTGTACATCACAGGCTAGCCCTGACATTTTGACAGGCAGTCTAGATAATTTTCGCAACCAATAATTACATTGAGCAATTGTGTAGGCAACCTAAGGGTATCTGTGATGACCACTTATTCATCCAAGAGTAGTTCTGCATACTCATAGGTGGAGAGAGAGGGCACTGCAAGATTACGCAACATACATGTAGTGATGCTGGCTAGAGATGAACCCAGAACCCTCAATTAAGCATCCATCCAACACCACCCACCAGGCTTTTAGCCAGGATTTGAAAAGTGGGCATCTAAAATGTGCTATAGGGCCTGCTCAAATGAACAATTTATAAGGTAACATATGGAAAACGAAACAATTTTCTTCAAAAAGTGGTCGTCTACAGGACAATTGGACAGGCATCTGGCTAAAAGCCTGCTACCCCCCCCCCTGGGGGGGGCCACTCTCTCGTATGGGCTATATAGGTATGTGCAGCCCCAAAGGGTATGGTTTTTCAGCCATTTTGGTCATAAATAGGGTATCAATTTTAGCTGATTTTGGCCATTTTGGTCATAAATAGGGTATGATTTTTGCACCCTAAACTTGATATGGGTATGTTTTTAAGAAGAAGCCATGTTTTCATCATTATCCAACAGAAAATCAACAAGAGCCCTTCACAAATTATGTTTATGGTAATTTCACATTGGTCTAAACTAGGGAACTAATTATAATGCAGGTCTGAAACAGAGTTTTGATGTAAGGGTCAGGCCATAAAAAGGGTTTCGAATTTTTGGTCTGGTCATAAATAGGGTAGTGAATATCGGGGTTTTGGAAAGTGGGCCACACACCCCAACCCAATTTTTCTGGGATACTCCCTCTAACACTATAATTTAGTTACCTTTAATTTAGTCAGAATAATACACTGAAAGCTAGAAAAAATCTATAACAACAGTGAACCTTTTTGAATGAAGAGATCTTTCACAATCTTGGATATGCCATTTGCTTCAATTATTCCTGTGCCGTCATCAAGAAAGAGGTCATCACCATCTGCTGAGACCAGAACTACTATACCTTGCACCCAGAGTTGACTAAAACAAACTTCGCAGTTGCCGTCACTGTACATCCATTGGTCTGTGGCCCCCTTGACATTTGACGTATGTTGTGGTAACTGACAGGCAAAGAATTTCTTTGCTGGAGCGTCAAGACTGAATGACTGTTTCTGTGACATTTAGCACTGCAAGACAGCAAACGATAGGTGGGTTTCCATACAAGCTGTACTGAAGTATAGTAGCTATCAGTTACCAGTTTCCTCATATGGTGCACTCATTTCCCAAGGGGAGCCTAAACGCATGTCAATCCTAAACCCCCAGGGGACAATGTTCCCACACAAAATTATCTATCCCCCGATCTGTCCCGGGTCTGAGGTGGAGGGTGGGGGAACAGCTGGCGGGCACCGGTGTCCACCGACTAGGCTTTTCATTTTAACCAATTTTAGCAGTTTTTTAGTCGAATATTTAGTTTTTGTTCTTTTCAATATATTCTGTACAGTCCTCAGTTAGTGATTTTGAACTGCTATTTTAGTATCGACACTCAAAAAAAGTACGGGGCAAGCTCATTCGATCGTTCATTAGCTAAAAGTTTCAGAAGTTTTCATTCCACTACAATTTAGAGTACACATTTCCCTCTATTACCATACCTAATATAGCCCTTAAAATCACTATCAGCAGCCGATCCGGTAAACAAGAACCTACCTACAAGCTATAATCTACATCCATTGTGAACAAGCTCGAAGTACGTAAAAATAAACACGCGCCTTCCCGCCATTTTGAATTGTTTGGTTGCCGCTGAGAGCCTGGGTGCTATTGTTAGTGACGTCATACAATATGGCGGACCGCATGAACTTTGACAGTAGTGTGTTGAAAATGAGGGTTACGAGGACTTTATTTCGTTTTATTCCAGAACTATGATTGACGAGAATTTAAGTTTAAGGGACGAGCTACAATGTCGAAGAAACGAGTGGCTTATTTTTACGACGAGGACGTTGGAAACTTCCATTACGGTGGGTATTTGAATTGGAAGCTTGGAAATTTAGGGTTATTATTGAAATTTCCTCCGTTTATCTGCATGGTAGCATGGATCAGGACGTTCTTAGGATCTTATCTATCCTTTTATTGGAGGATATTTTGTAGTTATTCCTGTCATTTTTCTACAATAAGCTTAGGCGTCAATCTAATACCAGATCAGGATGAAAACTTTGAAGAAAAGAGTCTGACGAAAACTTCATTTTTGTTACGTTGACATTGGATTCTATCCATTATTAGGTTAAATTTACACGAATCCTAACATTACGTTTAAGCATTTTAAACTTACTGTAGTCTAAATTATTTCTGAAGCTGTGAAAATTAAGTACTTGGGACATTCACCCCCTCCCTCTTCAGCAAAAAACTGGGGTGTCAGAACCAGTCCCTGTGTGTGGTTAAAAAATGTGGAAATATGTCCCATTATATAATTAAGATTACTTTTCTGCTTCTATTGTTAGGCCTTAATCATCCGATGAAACCCCACAGACTCACATTAACACACAACCTTGTGTTTAACTATGATCTTCACAAAAAAATGGAGGTAACAAACTGCTTTGTGTATTATACAAATACATACACATGTTGTCCATTTGTAGAGGTGTCTCGGTCTCACAGTTTTAAAAAGTTAAAATGCCTTGGGCTTAGGAAGAAAAATGCTTGTCTCTCTGCCTGGCAAAGTCTCACATTTACCTTTCAATACCCCAATTTGTAAGTGAGTCATCGAGTAGTTCAACAGAGTGCATGCATATCATAATTTTTGTTTAAATGATAAATCCTTTAAATATCATTTTGTTGTTTAAAGGATCTGTGAAATGTTTTATGAGGTTTTAAAGTGCGCATGCTATTTTTCATGATGTACATTGAAAGAAACACTTGTACTTGATATGAATTTATCTTTTTTTCTGGTACAGGTGTATAAGCCTTACAGGGCGACATACCATGACATGTGCAGATTTCATTCTAGTGATTATATACAGTTTCTGAGAAGGTAGGATGAAGAAAAGTCTACTCTAGAGGTTTTTTTTTTCTTCAATAGGAACCATACATGTATCATTTAAGGTTGTCTTCACTAGCAACAAAGTCAGAGTTATGGTTGGAATTGTAAGAGCACTTACATGACCTAGTAAAAATTGAAAGCAGAGTCATAAGCTCAACGGAATTGGAGGCGCAAGGATCAGAATGCTTTCATTTCTTCTTCCATTTTATGACTCTGTTGCTTATCATCCAGCAAAAACTAGGTCGTCAGAGTCAGAAGCAGAAGCAGAAGAACCACACAATCACGAGGTCTGGAATTGAGCATTGGGATTGGTTTATTCATTCACATGCTTCCAACTCCAACAGTGCAGTTTTCACTAGATCGTAAGCAACAGAGTCGCAAGTGGAATCAGTGTTTTGCTTCCAACTCCTCTGGGTTCATTTTAGCTAGATCATATCACTCTGTGCTTCTGATTACAACTCTGAATCTGACTCTGCACTAGTGAAAACCAGCCTTTAGAGTTATAACTGATTCAGTCCAACCTGCACCATGAGCCAGCTCTCTACAACTCTCTACAGTGGCCAGAATTCTTTGTTCTAGCACTCTACCAACCCATACTCATGAACTTGCTGATTGAAAGTTAGTTCCCTGCTTGTAATGACCACCTCTATGCACTGGCCATTTTATTCTGCTACAGTGTGGCCTTAAAAAATAGGGTTAAGTTGTACATGTACATGTATATTGGCTGTTTGGCAGGCAGTAACAAATTGGAAAAGTTTTACTCTAGGCTTGTCAGCTTAAATTTAAATTGACCAAGATAGTGCTGGCATTTGCAAACTTTGAAAATTGTCGTATGTACACACTGTATTGTGCTACAGAAACTGAAGTTGAATACATTTAATACACTGTACAACTTTAACTGTTTTAAAAATACATTGTTACCCCATTAAAATCATAAATTGCTACACTGTAGCTGTGAACTACACATTGAATGTTACACAATATAAGTAAGTTATCAACAAAAGCGATCTAACTTGAAGATGTTATTTTTTTCTACTCACTAGGGTAACACCACAAAACACAATAGGACAAAACAAAGTGGTGAATAATTTTAATGTTGGAGAAGACTGGTGAGTTTATGGTTTTTCTAAGTGACTACCAATAATAAATACCACGGATTATACATGTGTCGTGATGAAGGAAAAATACAAGTGTACATGTGGGTCAGCATGGTGGGCTTGACATTTTGGCTTGTAAGTTGTACATTGTAAACATAATTATGTACATGTACATGTATGTTGGCAAAGATTGCTTTTTCCTTTTGTGTGATGTACTAGCCATTCTTGTAGCAGACCAGAGGTCCATTCCTCGAAGGTGCCAAAAGGTTTTTGCATCCAGAAAGCCACATTAAAATCTCAGACCTTATAATTACAGTTCTCACTGTTTTATTCACAAATTGTTTATATGAACAAACTTTCTCTTGATACAAGAAGTTTCAGGTACTAAAAACGGCTTTGCAAGCCCAAAAAGTTTCCGGGGCTTTCAAGAAATAGGCCCCTAATCTATGTCCCTGATAAATTCAAAATACTTTTTGTTAAGGGCTGTTACTAGTTGTCAATCAGCTAATTCCAATACTTCTACATATTAACCCACATTAACTGTGAGTCTATTTTTTAGTCCTGTGTTTTCTGGCCTGTTTGACTTCTGTTCAATTTACACGGGTGCATCACTGGAGGGGGCTGTGAGGCTTAATCAAGGGGTATGTGAATAGCTGCAATCCATGCAGGCTTGTTTACAATAATCAATGGATATGACATGAACAGATTATTAATGTTATCAGTGCCTTATTTTTTTTTTTTTTGTACAGTTTGGTGCACAGAGTGATTCATTTAATTGTGATTAATCTGTCTTTGTGTCTTGAAGTTCTATAATGAATGAGAACATAAAAATTGTCCCTTTTCTTTTGCTTAAAAGGTATGTGACATTGCCGTCAACTGGGCAGGAGGGCTGCACCATGCAAAGAAATGTGAGGTTAGTAATACATACAAATGTACTATCGATTCTTTTTAATCCTAAACACAATAAATCATAGCTTGTTGTCGTGTGAACCAGCACTAGTTGCAGTTAATATCTCATGTTCCCATAATAGCATAAAGTGACCATGTACAGGGCTTCTTGTCCAAGATAGTTAGTTTAACATGTACACGGACAATGTATGTGTTTGCTGACACGTCAAAACTCTTTCACTAGGCTTCAGGATTCTGTTATGTCAATGACATTGTAGTTGCAATACTGGAACTTTTAAAGTAAGTTGTAACTCTGTATGCGTTTTTTTTTTGGAGGTCACTGTGGAGTGTTATTTTCAATGTTATGTAAAATAACATTGTTGCAATAGTATTGTGATTTACTTCTTTTCATATCATCTGAAGGAAAAGCCTTTTGACATTATTATATTGATTTATTACCGTTCTTGTTTGTGTGTTTGTTTTTCTAATTTATTTATTTATTTTTTTAAATTCAGATATCATTCCCGTGTGTTGTACATTGATATTGACATTCACCATGGTGATGGAGTTCAGGTAACCAAATCAATTCTTTTGATTTTACTTTTTTTTCCATGACCTTACTCTGCAAATTATGATTTGAACACCAAGTGCTTGTATTTGTAAATTGGACTTTCCTGTCTTTACAACACATTCACCATGTATCTAGTGATAAACTATGTACTGAACGATGCTGGTGCAATTGCAGGAAGCATTTTACTTGACTGATCGTGTTATGACGCTATCCTTTCACAAGTTTGGCAATCAGTTCTTCCCAGGAACAGGTAAAGATTTCACTCCACTGGTCCAAGGTCTAAAATTTAATTTCAGTCAGTAGTTGAGTCCTGTCATGATATCACAGGCTTACCAAATTTACGATTCAAGGGGTCAAATCAAATAGATATATTAATGAACAGATTTATGTATGCATATCAAGTGGGACTTGGCCACCTAAAGTATGCGGTGTTGTGTTTCACTTTGGGCTGTTGATAGTTTGAGCACTCTAAAAGGCATTGCTTGGAGTTTTAAATAACGAAAAATAAAAACAGGCAACGAAATAAAATGTTACTTCTTTTGAATGAAATAAAGAAAATATACTCACCTTGGTCTCTGTTGTCCATTTGACCTATTTCATCGTTTTTGGTTTTTTTTTGAGGTGTTTGTGGAGCTTTTGTTGGCATACTTTAGGTGTTCACATCCCACTCGACACGCATACATAAATCATTAACATTGGATCGATTCCTCGAATCGTGAGTTTGGGATGCCTGTGGTGATATTGGACTGGCTGTATACATCCTAGCAGGGACTGGAATCTTGGGATGGAATAGTCTGTACATGTATGCTAGGTATATTTTAGTTTGTGAGCACCATCTTTTTAATGGGTGACCAAGCACCATCTTGGATTCTGAAAACTGAGTGAGTTTCCTCATACATGTAGCTTGTGAATACAGACAGATTTCACTCTGCTGAAAGCATGTGGTGGCCTGAAGCAAAAGCTGGAAATCTGTCTGTCTTTGCAGGCTACCTAGCTTCTAAAGGGTGGGTGGAAAAAACAGCAGTGCTCCCTTTTCAAAATTCTCTAGGCATGCTCACCAGTGGATACCTTGTAAATTTAGTATCTCAAGGTTTTATCAGTAAATGATGATGACAAAATTTGTTCTTGTTTACTGAAAGGAAAATCCTTATTTATTATGTCATTTTTGGTCAGCTAATTAAGCTAATTAATAGTAACCATTATCTATATGTTTGTAGGGGACATGTTTGAATTAGGAGTTGAGAATGGAAGATTTTATTCACTAAATGTTCCCTTGAGGGATGGAATAGATGACCAAGGTAGGTTGGGATAATTTTTGTGAGGACATTTTGGAATTAAACATCATATGGCAATGCAACTTCTCTTCGAATGTCATGACTAATCACTATGTAATGATAACAATGAAACAAGGCTGATTACTACGTAGAAGGCTTTACGGGACAACAACATGATAGAGTCCAAACTGAAAGCCAAGAATTGCAACCATGGACAGTTGTTTGGATTATGTAACGACATCCCACTAAAGAGACTCCATGGTTTGGTGGTATGCTTTCTGAAGCTGCTGTTGACTTGTCATAATTATTATCTTCAGATTATCCACATGCACTTGTTATCTTTCCTCAGGTTATGCTAACCTTTTCAAGCCTATCATGCAGACTGTAGTGAATCATTATCAACCCAGTTGTATTGTTTTACAGGTAAGTTTTATAATCAGAGCTAGACTTAAAGCTACAGTGTACTCAAGTCTATCCTATTACATGTACATGTACAGTGTATCTTCACTTCTTTGTAACAATAGTATTCAGAACTCATTTTTGCTTCGTTCAGAATGATGACTCCTTGTTTTATATTTGCTGTGGTCCTTTTCGAAAGACCTTGTAACTCCTTGACTGTTTTGTCTGAAGCATCAGTTTTTTTTACAGATTATTCTGTCAACTTTTCTTCTGAGGAAAGGCGGGAGGCTCCATGGGTCCCTCCGATCAGATCTGATACTTGCTATCAAGAGTCAGATTGCTATAATCATGTTTAAGTACTTGGAATTCCATAAGCTGTTTGTAACTAATGAGAGAGGCTAATGATTTAAGATGATTACACTGTTTTGTAGTTAATTTTTCTTGCCGTTTGTGTCTTCAGTGTGGAGCTGACTCACTTGGCTGTGACAGGCTTGGGTGTTTTAACCTCAGTATCAAAGGACACGGGTAAGCAAGGGTCATTTCGGCAATACTGACTTTGTAAAACTATTTTTCATTACCTCCGCATCTTTCGTAACCGTCAGACGCATGGTATAAGTCGACGCAGTTGATTATTTGGACTGTTATATTGATAAAAGTGAAGAACAGTTCCCAAAGATTTTGCTGGTCGTCTGTCGGCCAATTGTCGGCCGACTGTTGCCCGTTTGTTGGTCGACTGTCGGCCAACTGTCGGTCAACTGTCGGCAGTTTCTCGGTCGACTGTTGGTCGACAGAGGGCCGACAGTTTTCATTATGTTTCAGACAAAAGTTTAAGGTGTTAAGTTTGTTTTTATCTTTACAGTGAGTGCGTACAATACGCGAAGACCTTCAACCTTCCCATGCTAGTTCTTGGTGGAGGAGGATACACCATAAAGAATGTTGCACGTTGCTGGTAAGTTCTGTATCAGTCAATTCGAAACTTCAAACTGCCCCCTCCCCCGGCAAAAGCACCAAGGGCACTTAAGAGCTACATTTGTGCTAACTGTAAAAAAAAATCTAAATCGATCAAAGAGAGCAGTTCAAGAATCGACTTCTGATTTTTGGTTCTGTGTCCATTCAGATTGAAGGGAACCTGTTGGAGTATATTTCAGCCAAAAGCGCAAAAGAAATCAGCTATCGCTTCCAAAAAGGCAAAACGTTGACATCGCTGATTCTACATGTATAAACAACTCCTTATCCTCCTTTTCTCTGAGAATTATACACACACTCTAACAAAATACGATTACCATTTTTGTGTTGTTGTTTGATGTTCTTTCTTTAGGGCTTACGAAACATCTCTGTTAGTGGATCAGGAAATCTCAAGTGAAATTCCCTATAACGGTAAATATATCTGCAATTTTAGTGTTTGTAACTACGAGAAAAAAAAAAACGAACAAAAAGAGAGCTATCTGTGCGATGAAAAATTCCGATTTGAATTTCCGGAAATTTCCGCTGATGAATGCCAATGGAACGGCATTTTCTGGAATTTCGGGAAAAGAGAACAACCTTGCGAGGTATACCGAAATTTTCGGAAATTTCTTACTGGGAATTTCCGTCCCATTTGACCTTCCGCCCGGAATTTTCGGTTCAATGATTCGCTTTTCGGAAATTCAACAACTTCCAAATACTTTCTCAGGAATTTTCCGTGCCATTTGTCCCCGTTTCGGGCTTTTTGGTTGAGTGGAAAGCGGCCATAACCTTCATAAAACCATAACGACAGTACCTGAACCAGCCAATCTCAACAAACCCAGTTCCACAATGAACCAATCAGAACTCGCCAGCAGTTCGCTGTAACATACTGCAACCGCCGCCAAGCGCGGGAAAATTTGCAACCTGAGAAGTGGGGAAAATCACTAAGGGCGCCATCTATGATCTAACGCTAGCGCGTAAACATTGCTCTCAAATTGGAAACTAACCATATACGTTCTATGTTCCAAACAGATTACTTGGAGTATTTCGCTCCAGACTTCTCGCTGTACCCAGACATCGCGGCCAGAATAGAGAATCAGAACACAAAACAGGTACGTGTCAATCGTGATGCACGCATGCGTATAAACCTAGGACAATTTTTTCTATTAGGCTACCATAAGACAGATCACAAAACTATCAGGAATACTTGGGTACAGAAGAGGGAAAATAGTTGAAGAAATGAAAAGGTTTTTTTTTTTACAATTACGTATTTTCCTCTTTGTGAATTTCTACCTTTTTTGATAATCCCAGGTTAACTAGCTTTTTCCCTTCGTTTTTCCACTCTCAGTACTTGGACAATATCAAGCACACTGTTATCGAAAACATCAAATGCCTAACAGGCGCCCCCAGTGTACAGATGCAAGAGGTCCCCCCGGATTTCATGTGCTTGGAGGCCATGGAAGATCAGGAAGACCCTGACGCCAGACAGGATGAGGACTCAAGGTAAGAAGGGGATGATAAAAAGAGGAAAAGAGAGGGGAGGTAGAGGAGAGAGGAAGGCGGATAAGATGTGTCGTCTACTAGCAAAGCGTCCCAGTTCACAAAAGATTTTTACGGTCTTCACGAGATAGCAACAAACCATTCTATTTCCCTTGAACGTAGTTGTTGTTGTTGTTATTGGATGTTTATAGTGGTCGATGCTCTTAGCTACAGCTAGCTAGTTTTCAGACATGCCACTTAAACTGAATGAAAGAGATATTTCAAATAAACATAATAGGCTGAAAAATCCCAGCTGGCGGGAGACAGACCAGTGGGCTATTTACAAGCATGACCTCCGAATTTCAAGTCCAGCGCCCTAACCACTAGGCCACGCTGCCTCCAAACTCCTGCGTTTTAGTTGGTTATTGTTCTGTGGCACTTCAAGTATCAGAGAAAGCCTGGATATGAAGTTTCTTGCTAGTCACCACGCTTCTCTCTTTTGATATAGATTTGAGGGGGAGTTCTATGACGGTGAACATGACGTGGATAAAGAAGACGCGTACGTAGAGGTGTTAAGAGAACATTGAAGTAAGGGAAATGTTGGCTAGGGGGACGAAAAGCTGGCATGAGACATGGAACCTGCTGAGTACTGAGCCAGAAGGAAAACGAACCCAAGCAAGGAAACAAATAAATAAACAAACAAACAAACAAAACAACGTCAGAGAAGAGCTGCTATGTTTTTTGGAAGCAAAACAACATTTGCCTAAATCCAAGTGCCGCTGTATATATGTACTTCATGAACGCCTCGTCAGGTGTCCCTGATAAGCAAAATCTCTTAAGCTCGATAAGAGAGCTGCAGTCCTTGTACAAAGACTCCTTTCGTATTTACGTGTAAATTTTTAATTTAACTGTAAACCTTGCAATGTAATCCGCGAAGGCCAGTAGAATTTGTAACATGTAAATAAAGTGATGGTTCTTGGAGAGAAGTTCTTGTTTTTAACCTTGTCATCTGGGTTGTCACACAATCCTTATTTGTAGCGTAGAAGATCACGCAACCCTAATGAGCGTGACTGTATTATTAAAGCATCCTTTGTATGGATCACCTGGTTTAATAAAACAAGGATGATTGTTAAAATTGATTGGTGAAAAATAGTATTCTTGCTTTAGAACAAACTTGACGAAAACTAATTATGTGGTCTTGGCTGATTGGTAACTCAGCGTCCCAAAGGGTTAAGTGCGAGGTCTATTCTAAGAGGAAATACTTTGCACTGCCTCAAGAAAGGCTCTCGAGGGAAACGGGAATCAATTGCAACATCTTTGTCTGGCTTCGAGAGAGAGACCCAGGACTTGCCTAAAAACAAAATTTAGAGCACAATTTACATCAACGGAACCCTTCAAGTATGGTTAAAAAGAGTCGTGAGGTTTTAATCTCAGATTGAAGAAGTCGGGCAGACTTGATTTCTTAAAATTTTGCCATGGTTTCTTCGAAGAGTCCCTGCTTAGATTCTAGGCCTCGATATTTCCCCGCGGTCAAACCCTTTTGGTTCACGTAGCATTTTTCTTTGGCCCAGTTTGACCAAAGAACGGCTGCGAATTTCCCATGTTCGTGGTGCGAAAAAATAGTCTCTTGGTGGCGTTGTTATTTACGTTCCCTAATTGAAAAGAGGCCCATATTTGACTAGCACTGTTCTCTTGGCAGGCAAGCAGACTGAACCACTTGACATGTAACAAATTTCTTCCTTCTGCTTCAAATAACGTAACAATGATTTCAGACACCTGTTTTTTATCATCATGCAACATGTTTTGTTTTTCGGAATGAATTTAAAAGTAAATTAATTAAACAATTATTCATTTGCGGTAAGACGATTAAAAAGGCAGGAATTGAGGTCAAACGGAATTGCGTAAACAATCATTTATCCGAATATCGGAACCAGCGGCATAAGAGTCTCTCGCCCACAGAGGCAAACGTAATAAATAACATCTTGTTTGTAAACAATGATATTCTGTTTGTTTGAGTAGTAAATAAGTACAACACATCTTTCTTCAATTTTTATACCGGATATAAAGTTTATCACACAGACGGCTATTAAATTTTATTGACCGAAAAATGTCACATTTTGGCAGTGTCGCAAATAAAAGGTTATAAAGTCAAACTTTTTAAAGATAACATTCATTTGGCAATTGGACAGTGCAAGCTTGCGAAAGGGTTTGAAACAAGCTGAGCTAAGAATAGAGCGTTTTCACTCGCGTGGCCAGCAGCCAAGAAAAATTATTGGAGTAAAAGAAAGTGTTAACATAAGAATATAGTTCAACTCCCACAGGAATGGTTTGGTACACCAACATAGCCGCCGTTTCATTGTTGGTACACCAATATGGCTGCCCCCGTCCGAGGGAGCTGAGGGGTTCTCCCTTATATGGGCTATATACAGTGGCACCCCGCCTTGCGACCACCCCTTTAATAGAACCACCTCGTTATTACGGCCACTTTATTCTGACCCGAAAAAAAGCTCAGTCAGTCATTTTCCTATTTAAAGAATCCCTCTAATACGACCACACCTTTTTCATGGCCCGAAGGTGGTCGTATTAACGGGGTTTCACTGTAGGTATGTGCGGCCCCAAAGGGTATGGTTTTTCAGCCGTTTTGGTCATAAATAGGGTATCGATTTTGGCCATTTTGGTTCATAAATAGGGTATGGACTTTGTACTCCAGTCTTGAATTCGGTATGTTTTTTAGAAGAAGCTACGATAAGACCATCAACAAAAGCCCTTCCGAAATCATGTTTAGGGCAACTGTGTCAGCCGCAACGGTCATAAACAGGGTATCGAGTTTTTGGTCAGGTCATAAATAGGATAGGAAAAATCGCAGATTTTGGTCTTAAATAGGGTGAGGGTTTTGGGAAACTATAGCCGCACACACCAACCAAATTTTTCTGAGAGTATCTCCCCGGGTATAGCTGCCGTGAAATTAATTGAGAAAGCTCCATTACGGTACACGAGAGAGCAAAATACATTTCACGCCAAGCATTTAATGCGTTTAAAATTTCAAACAGCTGATCTGGAGAAGAGAACGTGAGGCATTAAACACGTGCTATTGAACATACTTACAGTAATCTGCAAAATCTGAGAGTTGCGTTTTGCATCCGGCTTCACAATTCCGCCCTTTCAGATCAGTAATGAACAGCCGTTTCCGTTTTAGAAGCTGCGAAGAGCATTTCCAGCGCCACTTGCTCGCAACCGATCAATTAATTTATTAGTTATATATTTTTTGGCCTGAGAAACGTTTTTTGGATGTAGCAATTTTTATTCAGCTAAACCTCATGCAAGCCTGTTTTACAAGTCAGAATTAAGTGTAGAGCAGATGTTTGGACTAAATTAGCTCAGCTTGCTCTGCTTTTTAAAAAGTAGACAAGTAAAAGGTCTAAAAGAGCTTATTTTATCAGATAGTCTTCTAGTGATCTCTAGTGTTCTGCCACTGCTGATCAAACTCAACAGACTCAATTATTATATTGAAAAGAGGTACACTCTTTTTTGTTTGAAAAGAACATAATTTTGTGAGTTTAAAATTTGTACTAAACGTATAAAATTTTTTCTTTCTGGGCAAACTAGCCAAAAAACAACAAAAACAGCGCTAGCCGTGTGTTCGATACTAATATCATATCATGCAAGAAGTTATGTGCGTGATATCAGGCTGTGATGCCTGCAGGCTGGCTCCAAAATTACTTTAACACCATCCAGACACCAAATACATTCGAAAACAGAAATTTCATGCGCAATAATCTAAGAATATTCACAAGAATATTTTCAGCCTAAAATCGGCAGAAAAATAAGAATATTTAGCTTCGGCCGGGAAAACATTATTCTTACAAAAAAAAAAAAAAAAAAAACAGTTTGACGTGACACTGTTCTCAACTGTGCCCTGTTCTTTGTCATGGCAAGATGTTTTCCTTTTCGGAGACGATGAATTTAAAGGGAACTTAAACTGAACTCTTGATGTGTGGTAAGACGATTAGAAAGACACGAAGGTCAAACGGAATTGTGTAAACAGTCGATAATAGAAATATCCAATGTCTGAACTAGCGGCATAAATGGCCTTCACCCACACAGAGGCAAATAATAAACAACATCTTGTCTGTAGACAATATTTTGTTCGTTTGAGTAGTACAGTAAGCACATCACCTTTCTCTTATACACCGGATATGCAGTTTATCACACACGGCTTGCTAAATTTATTGACCGAAAAATATACATTTTGGCATTGACGCAGAGAAGCCAGTTATAAAGTCAAACCTGTCACGATAACATTCATTTGGTTATTGGCCAATGCCAAGCTGCAAAAAGGTTTTAAACATGTTCAGCTAAGAAAAGGGTGTTTTCACTCACGTGGCCAGCTGCCAGGCAAATTTATTGGAGCTAAAGAGATTGTTTACATCAGAATATAGTTTAACTCCCACAGCATTGGTTTGCTACACCAACATGGCTACCGGTCCATTGTTTTGGGATACCAATATGGCTGCCGTGACGTCATGTAAAAACACTCTATCATGAGAATGGTACACAAGAAGGCAAAATATATTTCACGCCAAGCATTTAATGCGTTTAAAATTTCAAATAGCTCATCCGGAGAAGGGAACGTGAGGCATTAAGCACGTGCTACTGAACATACTTACAGTAATCTGCAAACTCTGAGAGTCGCGTTTTCCATTCGGCCTCACATATTCCCCCCTTTTCAGATCAGTAATGAACAGTCGTTTTCGTTTTAGGAGCTGTGAAGAGCATTTCCAGCGCCACTTGCTGGCAACCGATTTATTCATTTATTCATTTATTTATTTATTTATTTATTTATTTATTTATTTATTTATTTATTTATGTATTTATGTTTGGCCTGAAAAGCTGTTTTTGGATGAGAGCAGTTTTCATTCGCCTACACATCACGTAAGCCTTTGTTACAAGTCAGAACAAAGTGTAGATGTCAGATTTTTGGAATGAATTAGTTCAGCTTGCTCTACCGCTGCAAAAAGTAGAAGATTTAAAAGAGCTGATTTTATCAGATACCCTACCAGCCTTTTGTCACTGCTGACCAAACTCAACAGGCTCAAGTGCTAAAATAGGTTGTGAGCAGTCTTTCTTTTGCTCGGAAATCCTTGGGGCTTTCATACTCACGACCGTTCACTTTTCTGTTGCGTTCTTCTTTGCGTTCTTCCCCATGGACTTTCGAGCAAAAGAAAGACTGCTCGCAGTCTAGTGCTAAGGGACCGAGGAGTCAAAGAAATGTTGATTTAGCACTTTGCTCCTTTGCGCGCACCTTTTCTGATTCATGCTAAAACTTTTCACCNGAGACCCCTTGCTATATAAACTATGCACAAAGCTTACGTTTGTTTGGAGTGAGGAGACATGAGCAAAGTGAGGCTCTGCGCGATTTCCTGCGCCACGTTGACCATGGTCCCGAGTCAGCAGAAATCGATCTTAAATTTCACAGAGACCAGCGTGAAAAGTTCGTAGCTTTGACGTTCTCGAAGGTTCTTAATTAACCAGACAGCGCGCGACCTCTACCTACGGAAGTGCGTCAAACGAAACTCGAAACAGACTAATCTAAACGACTTGCCCAGGGGGCTGTTTTCGGGTTCACCTTTATATAACCCTATGGCGCAAACGTTTACCGTTGAGTGATACAGACCTGGCTTGGAGAAACGAGAGCTGGATCGGTTTGAGGTTGAAATACTCTCGTGCAATTTGCTCCTTTGCTTCGTTTAAGATCTCAGGGCCTCAAATCTAAACGAGCTCAAAGCTCACTGAAAGCTGTTCACCTGACGACGGGTGGTAACCGTGTGAGAGGCACTAATTACAGGAAGCTGGTTTATGTCAGTGCGTCAACTCGTCATGATCAAGCCCACTTCCTAATAAATTACTGACAAGCGATATTTTGCAAGTGTAGACGATTTGCAAATCTTCACTCTGTGAAGCATTACTGCATTAATAAGTTGCAGAATTTAGTCGTCCTAACGCAGTGACAACGTGTACACGTAAGTGCAAAGTGTGCGCAAAGTTGGAGAGAATCTTACGAGCGGAGAATTCATTTTCTAAAGACAGGCGTTAGATCTTGTTTCGGGTAAGTGATAAGACAGTTTACTTTAGCCAGTTATTTATGGGGAGTGGAAAGCCGAAGCCGTGAACTGCTGTATTAGTTTACGCTAAAAATGCCACGTTTCAGAGTCTTAGAAGTTTAAAAATAGCACCGAAATCCTGAATCAGTCGATATTTTCATTTGTTAATTGGCCTGTTTATGGATCTCGGAAATTTTCCGCCAGTTTCAAATGGACAAATTTTAACACAACTCAGATAAGTTATGCAGTGAATGCACCATTTTGAGTTCCGAAGGTTCTTTCTCCAAGTACTTTCTCCACACCTCAACTCATCGTTTTATCGCGGTAGATACTTCAGACTGCCAATGTAAATATTTTAGGCTCTAGGAATTTAGATTAATTGCGAGCTGAAACAAGACAATGGAGACTTCTACGAGACGTTTCTGACACACCGACAAAAGGCTAATGCAAGGATGGCTTGTTAACGATGACAGCTCTTTGCTCTGGGTAACACATGAAGTCACATATTACGAGCATTTTTACCCTGATTTATTTTGATTTCGACAATTTTACGCGGTTAAAATCTTTCGCGAAGACAGATTGGTGCTATCGCAAATACTAATTTCGTAAAGGGTGTTTATTCCTAGCGATAAGATCACAAAAGCTATGCAGTCTTCCCGCGCACGAATCTTTTTTTATGTCAATCGATGAAAGCATGACTGTCTTTTCTGAACCAACTAGAATATCGTAAATCCTTCAACAACAGATGTAAAAGTCCTTAAAATATACCACGCTATCCCTGGCAGTAAGAAGATACTGCGGCGGAGCGCCAGCTATAAATGCCTGTTGTGTTAATTACTTGGGAAAACAACGTAAGCCACATCTAAATTAGCCGAATTAAATACGCGTCAAACGTTTTATAAGAGTCAAATGGTTCGCTCAGGCGTCAAATGAACAAACATATTGCGTAACACTCATGGCTAAGCCTGTGATCCGTTTTACCCGGTTTTACGCGATAACGTGTCGACCTGGAGACCAGGAGATCCTAGTTTGGTTTAAACAGCGCCTGGAGCAAAGGGAAAAAGGTGTTACAATGCTTGCGGTTTGGTTTCCTATAGTTCAAAGGTCTACGGACGTAAAAACGGACGTCCTTTTACCAATTTCATGTTGGCGCAAGAAGATCCATAGATTATGTGACAAATCATCGGACATCGGATGGTGAATTGCTTGAGAGGTGCACTGCAAAACAGAACGCGACAGCTGGATAGCTAGCTAGAAAGTTATTTTACCAATTGCAATCTGTTCAGTCCGTGTTGCACCATGAATCCAGTCCAACCCCAATCGTTCAGTCCCGTCACACGCTCCACTTAAGAATTATATGAAGTATACTAATTAATTGATTGATTAATTAATTAATTTGGCTCTGAATTTCTCTACAAAGTCAATAAATTGCCTTATTACCGCAATTCTTCAAAGTCGAAGACGTTATCTCCATATACGATCAATTTTTTTTGCAGGTCATCACAGCACGATGTTACTGAAACTGTGTTTCATCTGCTTGAATATATTTCCGTTGTTTGGTAAGTTGATGTCCCTTGTTAAGCCTTACTTGGGTTAGGCTACCAACAGCCAATGTTTTTCGTTAGCCTTTGAGCGTAACGCCAAAGAACGCGCTAGAGAAAAAAAGGGCCGCGTGCCTGAGGGCATATCTTCTCGCGTGATCTTTCAGGTCACGCTCGCAGCTACTGAAGAGAGTCGGTTGTCAAGCAATCTTTCCTTCCAAAAACTGAAAGAATGCGCGAAAAGTCACGCAATTTCCTTCACTGAGTGGTTGAGCTTAATCCCAGGAAGGCAACTCATGGTGTTCTCCTGTCTAAACAAACTCAGCACGAGTTTAGAGTGCTGACTGGAGCAAGAGGTCATGTTACAGGCTTGAGATCCCCGTAGGCAGTTATTTGTACTCTTCTGAAGAGGAATGCGTGACACATGACGAGATAAAAAGGTTATAGCTTGTCACTAGTATTTTGCCCGTATTTGAATATATTAACAATATTGATGATTTTCTTTATTCCTGCAGATTCTGCACCCTTGGACGCAAGACCTAAGACAGGTAATCATGGGGTCAACAATTTTATCTCCATTGTTAACTCGTGAATTGCAATAGCAAGTTTTAAAGAGTCTTAGTGAGTGGTCAGATTTTGTTTTTAGCACGCGTTCTTCCTAGACAGTTTGTTATTATCTTTATTTGCCCCTACTAGATGTTATGCCAGTTTATAAGAGTACTTTCAGCCCCACCCTCATGGAAATGAGCAAATTATACCCTGAACTTGGTCATCCTGAGAGTATTCAGCCTCTCTTGTTGCCCTTACAGTCAAATAACTAACAAGAGCGCCACGAGCGTTAGTGATAAAACGGCATTCAAGCTTTTTGAGTGGCTGTCAACTCAGTGGGATATAGTTTAATAGCTTTTTAATTTTGATTTTCATATCGTGGGTAATATATCACCTCTGTCTTCAGTAGCCATGGGACACTGTCGTGGAATTTGTCTCACGCTTTAACATATCGATTTCAATAGATTTTACGGGAAGTGGCTAATTGAATTGAACCATAGGAAACCAAAAAAGCTATTGTCGGCCTAATAGTCTGACAGCGCGAAATTCTAAGACGCTTCCGGCGTGACTGAAGAAGCCGTATTTTCTCGAATAAAAAAACAAATGTTATGCTCTCTTTTTTCACCTAAATAACAAATTCTGTCCCTTAAAGATTAAAATAGCCTGTAGTAAACGAAAAAATCCCAAACGACCTTACAACAAAGAAATCGTTCTGAAATCTCTGAAAGAAAAACTTAGTGACTATGTGATAACCTACAGTGATATCGAGTCGTTAAGCTACTTAGCACGACTTGACGGTTGATCATAGTTCTCTTTCTTTATTTTGCAGCCAAACTCGACCGAGTACGAACATCAGGTATCAGTGAACTCCTTCTCTTGCATTTATGAACAAGGCTCTTTGTTGTTTCGAAACTGCCAATCAGTGACAATGAAATGAATTAAATGGTTAAAGCGACGCGTATCTCTTAGGAAGTACTTGCCCTTGCTATCACCTTACATTATGTAGAGGAGGTAACTATATCAAGATCCAGATATTCGAGATGAAGGTTGTAAATTACTTCCTCACTAAAACAGCTATTTATACGAAAACCACCACTCCAAATTATTTACGAGCCCAATGTTATTTAAGAAAAATGAAGCATTGTTCCGTTTTTCTATCGAGTTTTAAAATATATCTACTAGCGTTCTATCACGAATGCCATTCTCTGATTGGCTACGCTACTCACCATCTATTCTGTGATAGATAGTGAGTAGCGTAGCAGTGTGCTCTTGTTAACAAAATGAGGGCCGCTTCTTGGCGTTTTCGAAGTGTCTGTGAAGAGGATTTAGATAAAGTTTTGAAGGACTAGTAGATTTCTACTACAGCAGTAAGATTATTCGCTCTTGATTTAAAAATCAAGAGCGAATAATCTAATTGTGTAAACACGATTTTTATTTACACACGATTTTTAACCAATCAGCACGCGCATTTTCTTAGGGCATTCTATTAGGAATAAGTATTAGATCACATTATATTCTTTTGTTTTCCATCTACAGGTAAATCGTTAGGATCGTCTTCAACAGATAACAGTAAGTTGGCGTAGTAGTGCTTATTTCCTTGGAAAGTGTTTTGCTTAATTATTTTTCAGCGTTCTCGTAATGACTTTACAGAGCGAAGATTTTCCCAGACCAGAAAATGGATCTTTCTCCGGAAATAACAAGATATCAGTACACAAGTATATGAAAAAATACATTATTACCGACTTCTTTTTTTAACTTTAATCTGAGAAACGATGGGAACCCGTTAGACTTAAGTACCAAATCTCTTGATATCTACAAAGTCCTATAGACACCAACTGGTGACGCATTATTTTGAGGTGGGAAGTCACTATTCAATTTTTCAATTCCCCCCCCCCCCCCGTCGGGGGTGAGGAGGGAGATGGGGACAAAAAGACCGTATTTTGGCAAAAGTGCCTAGGGTCCCGAGACTCAGTTGACCAGGATTGTAGATTCAGTGGCATAAGCACTGGTGATGTAATGTCAATAAAGTAACCCAATTCATCAACTACATAAAATTCACTTGAAAACTTGAAACAAATTTTAATTCATCGCAATCAAACCAAGGCTCTAAAGTAACTTTGGACCACCGGAATAGAACAGGGCGTGAAAGTTGGAAGGGGGATATTATTTCTCCAATAGCCTAAACTACTATTCAATGTCTTATTCAGTTTTTCCGCAGGACTGTGGCATTAGAAGAATACGGAACACTACACATGGACGAGTGAAAAGAATTGTGGGGGGTTCCCAGAGTTCCCAGGGAAAGTGGCCCTGGCAAGCGGCCCTATTTTACAAAGGAACTCACTACTGCGGTGGTGCAATTATATCTAACACTTGGATACTCTCAGCGGGGCATTGTTTTAGTAAGTAATGTTTTGTTCAAGAACGTTAATAGTCATACACCTCATGAAGAGGAAGAAAGTTTATGTGAAATTCACGAGTGCAAGCAGAGTACTCACTAAGTCGTTCACGTTTTCATTACCAAGTCGAACCAAGAGTTGCTGAGTTAGTAACTTGTGCATCTCTTGCCCGAAGCGCGAGTCAAAATAGACCGCCTCCTCTGCATTCTGCTGTCGTATTGTAGCATCCAGCTCGTGCTGTATTATCTCGCACTTTTAAGACTCACTGACTGTATTTAAACCTGCCAGCCTCCGTGTAAACTACCAATGAAATAAAAAGAAACGCCGAAACGACTTGGAGCAAGTCAAGAGCCGCTGGACCTCTCCTTCTCCCAGCAATATGGGATATGGACAATTCAGAGACTGGATTAAGAGGCGGTCGACATTCAGTCGATCAGTTGAGCGGTTGCTAAGTCGATTCAAAGATGAATTGATGATCGATCCAGATTGATGATCTTGCTCGCTCGCTTGCTGGGATGGTTGGTTGATTGATTGATCGATAATCGATCGATCTATCTATCGATTGACTGACTGACTGAGTGACTGACTGACTGAACGATAGATTTATTGACTGACTGACTAACTGATTGCTGATTGTTGATTGATTGATTGATTGATCGATCATAGATCCTCTTACATCGGCTATTCCAGCAGACTGGACCGTAGTACTTGGAGACCATCACATCAAAGAAAGAAACGACAAATATGAGCAACGAAGAAAAGTTGTCAACATCACAATTCATGAAGGTTACAAGTCCATGTACTTTGAGGGAATACATGACACACCTCCCAAAAACGATGTTGGTGAGGAATAAAATTAATTAAAATTCTTCATCCAGTGTCATGGCCTTAGGTGTCCTGCGGGGCGCAATGAGGAATGAGAGATCCAATGTCATGACTGACATGATATGAAATGAAAACTTGAAGTGAAAATTAGTTAAACACCACACTGTTTAAACACATTTTAAACACAGATTTAAACGCAGTTGAAAACATCAAAATAGTATCACAAAAGAAGACAATACTTTATAAACTGCTTTGCAATATTTTGGACGTGTGAGTCCTGTGCAGATGAATGAATGAATGCATGAATGAATGAATGAATGAATGAATGAATGAATGAATGAATGAATGAATGAATGAATGAATGAATGAATGAATGAATGAATGAATGAATGAATACTTTATTGAACCTCCCCAACGGCGCTTTTCAGGAACAATAATAATTATGAAACACAGATGAAGTCCATGTTTAAAAAAGTACATAAATGTAACTTCTATTTTCCCAGGAGACACGGAAGAGTTTTGAATGAACTTGTTTTAAAGAGATGGAATTAGAATTTGCAGTGTCGGTTTTTATGGAAGGAGTAAAACCGGAGAACCCGGAGAAAAACGCTCGGTTCAATGAAGAGAACCAACAACAAACTCAACCCACGTGTGGCTCTAGAAAATATAGGCCTAGCTAGGCTTCCAACCCAGCCCATAACTGGTTTACGTCCTAGCTTTGATTCAAAGCAAACTTTTTTAAACAGAGATTAAGAAGCCTTTGGTGTGAATCTAAAATAATCTGTGTAAGAAGTCTGAAATGTGTCGTCTTTTCTATTTCAGCGATTTTAAAGCTGGACAAACCTCTTACATTTACTGACTTCGTTCAGCCACTGTGCTTGCCGCGTCCTGATCAAGTTTTCGCGCCAAACGAGGAATGTTACGTGGCAGGCTGGGGCCACACACAATGGAACGGCACTCAACCGGACATTCTACGAGAGGCCAAAGTTCGGACCGTTTCTCGTAAGGTGTGCAATCAGGAAAAATCCTACAACGGGACCATTCACGACACCGCACTGTGCGCGGGATTTCCCGAGGGAAGAATCGACGCATGTGAATACGACAGTGGCGGTCCGCTGGTCTGTGCGAAATGCGGGCGATATTACGCTTTAGGGTTGGTTTCTTGGGGTGATCAATGTGCATTACCGAACAAATATGGCGTCTATGCCGACTTGAGGGTGCTTACTCCGTGGGTTAAGGAAAAAGTTATAAAATACGAAACAGGATAGTAACGCACTCAAAATTTCAAGAGGTTTCTTTAGCGACTGTGTGAACTCATCCTTCCTCTATCCCCGTAGCCTGCGAACAGCTCCCGGCGAGGGCAGAAAAAATTCAGTCAGCGAAGCGAACAGACGAATTCATAACTGAAGAATTTGAGGAGCAAAGCGATCTGGTCGGGACGGTTTCGGGCTCGTCGGGATCCTGTTCGCAGACTACTATCCCCGACTGAAACAAGGCTTTCTTTATGCGAGGCGAAGAGAGCTATTTGTAGTTTATGTTAGACAGTGGAAATCTTAAACAACAGTGCTTTACGCCATTAAAATTATACACATTCACCTGGCTTTGTACAAACCAAATGCAGACTTAAGAGCGAGATAACGTTTTTTGACACTGAAAATGCTGAAATTTTGGTTAAAAAATCCCTAAATAGATTGGATCAGTATTGGGACAGACTGATTGCGCTTTATGGCCTGAAGTACAGCTAGTTTAGCTTCACAAACGTGAACGCAGGGACTTTGTCTCGTCCCATTCTCTCGTCTTTTTAATTTCCCTCTCAGCGCTCTCCCTTCAAGAGAAAAACAGAGTGCACGTTGTTTAGAAGTGTCAAGATATTTTCCATTCTCCCATTTATTCCTTGTCTAACCTCAAGTCGTTGTTTTTTGGGAAAGAATGTTATGAACTGATATTACTTACAATAGATAGTCATGAATGACTGAGTGCAAGGAACTCGGTTGCAGCTTGATGTAATCAGCTCGCGTCAAATAATGTTTGTTGAGCAAAACCCTCACCTTTTCGCTTGAAAGATGCGTATATTTGTATTATTTTCCTGATTGGCGCAAGTGCGTTAATCCGAAGACGTCTGTTCTTGTCAAAAATACTTCTTTACACGATCAGAACAGTTCTAATATGTTCTGGGAGCGAATAAATGGTCAGAATTAAATGTCGTTTAATGTGAACGATAATCAAATAACTGTATATATCTTACAGATTCAGCTTGGAAGTAAACACTATTTTCCACGTGATCTTTTTTTGCTGATGATTGCGAATAAAATGTCCCTCCCTTAAACCACATGCAAAACTACGTGGTTCTCCGCACATGGAATAAATGTGGAGATTGCAAAGCCTTGCTTCTTCATTCCCCTAGCGGAAACATAATTACAGAGAGTACCTTTGTCCTTTTGGTTCAAATTATCACACTCTTCAAAAGCACCACGTCATGCTTGCAGAAAAGAAGTCCTTTCGGCGTATTTTAAATACAAGTGGTCTTAAGCCGACACTAAAGTATCTATTGTGAACGCCTTAGTAACACTCGATTTTAGGAACAGGCTCGGCAGAAATCTGATTCCTCTGACTAAGTAACGAGAAAAACAAAGTACTTCATCAACAACAGAGGACAGCGTGTTGTGTTAGCTTACATGAAGTATTGTTCAAATTGGTTACGGGCGAGGAGCATGTTGGTTATTAAAGATGGGTCTTGAAGTAAACACGTGTTGTTCACCCAAGAACACTTTAGATCCAGATAAACCGCCAAATTAACAGCCAATTATCACCTTGGGACTAGCGCAGCCTGAAATAAATCGGTTAGTATAATGAGCTGTGATAAATATTACTTCGCTGTAATCCCTAATCAGCTCCAAATGGCCAGTTCCCTTTATTACACGCGAATGCAGGGAATCATGGTAATTGTATTCATCAAAACAAATATCCAGTCTAAGATGATGAAAACATTTACCATGATCCCTGCGCGCGCTTCTCATACGAGTAATTGGCCATCATCAACAAGCCAGAATTTCTGCAATTTTGTGTGCGTGTTGAAATGTTAGTAGCCTATGACTGAGCTATTTAATCTTTCCGGAACGACTTATAATTAATTGAGCTTTCAATTTGCTAGCGTATTAAAAGCAAAAGTATGTTTTATAGCAACAAGTACCGGATGGCACAATTATGTATTAGGTTGCTGTGAAACTTGGTTGAAATTCCATCTTCCTCTTGAAAGATCTATTTTCTTTCTCAAAATCAGTTCATTGTCAAGTGTGAAAGTGAACAGAAGAAAGATAATCATCAACTGGAGGATACAACCTTGATACGCCACTGAATTCTCCAAACTTAAGGAAATGTGTTGTTCAATTCGTGACGAGATTTGACATTTTCAGATTGATTTTATGCTGGGTTAAAGTCAGGTTATCTCTACGACACTGCTACTTCTCCTGTGCTCTTCTAAACAAAAGAAACACTTGAATACATATTATTTGTTTTCAAAAAAGGAGAAATCCTTTTGCTATGTACGTGTGTTCGTGTGTGGTAGTTGAAAGAAGAACACAGAATTATCTTTTTCGCATTGTTGATACAAATGATAATAAATTTATCACAGATGCAGAAACTATCCATTTCAGCGGTATCAAATTTGTCAGATTGTGTTTAAAAATAAACTTGAAATAATTAATCCTTTTAAACCCATAGAACGTAACACCTTCCCAGTCCAAAGTCAAGATTAATTGCGGATTTAAAACATGATGGTGTCAAAGAGCAAGCAGTGGCGGATCCAGACCTTGAGCTAAGGGGAGGGGGTGGAGTGGGGAGCGGTTTTGTTTTGCTAGCCCTGCCGGCTTTTCTTGCTTCAATGATTTCTTCTTTTTTACCCAAAATAAGGGGGGACTCGGGCCCGCCCACCCACCCCACCCCCCTCTAGATCAACCACTGGCAAGGCTAAAAAATTACTTTGAAACGATTATGTAAAGAGCAGAACATAAAAAGATTACCTCAGGGTTCACAGTGAAAGAATCAATTAAACTAAACGTCTTCAGAGCTTTGAGCCGGGGGGAGATTCTCCGTTATATGGGCAATATGGGTATGTGCAACCCTAAAAGGTTTGCTTTTGTAGCCGTTTTGGTCAGAAATAGGGTATCTGTTTTGGCCATTTTGGCCTGAGGGTATGGGTAGGGTATGGTTTTCGCACTCTAGTCTTGAAACAAACGCCCTTAACAATGCCGTTAACATCGGTCAAACTAGGAAAATAATTAGTATAAGACAGGTTTAAAACTGGGCATCGAATGTTTCGTCAGGTCATAAATAGGGTAGGGAAAATCGCAGATTTTGGTCCTAAACAGGGTATGGGTTTTGAGAAGCGGGCCACACACCTCTACCCAATTTTTCTGAAAGTCCCCCCCCCCCCCCCCCCCCCCNTCGGCTCTGAAATAGGGTAGGGAAAATCGCAAATTTTGGTCCAGAACTGGGCTAAAGGCCCGGATACACGGATATTACGTCCCCAACTAAAATTGTTGCGCGCAATTTTGCGCACAATAACCACTCTCCGAGACTTTGACTGGCTTTGAGTCCTGTGTTCTAGTCACGCGCTTCGTTGAAGACATGCCGTCACGTTGAAGATAAAATTTGAAATTTGACAAATTTCTGCTTCGTAATAATTATATTTCAATGCAGTTTAATCGTTTTCTTGCTCTGTAATTATTGAAGGATACTTCAATGTACGTAACTGAATCATTTTCTTAACCTAACCTTAACCCTTCGCTGAATAACATATATTTTTTTACTTTTGGGAAGTTTCCCACAGTATCTTTTAACAAGTTTTGAGGTGGTCGATAACCTCGTGAAAGCGCAATATTTTCAAATGTTTTTTTTTTCTTTTTCGTTTACGTATTTCCGTTACCAGCCACGTTTAGAATATGCCTATCACAATTTAATACAACAAACTGATACTAGCTGGTCGTTATCACCACTTATAAACAGCTCTTAGATTGCAGCTACATTGTAGAGTGTTTGTAGACTTTGCAAAGCAAAACAACTTTTCCCGAGCAAACAAAAATCGCACACTTCAGTAAAATAACACGTCGAAACACGAACAGTATTATTATAGCCTCAAACTTAAGCTTATCATATTATTTTAATCTTTGGAGTCAGGCCCAATCACGGTTCTGCGAGACAAAGTGTATTTGTCAATGACTGATACCAGAACTGATTGGTGCCAGATGAAATTTCAATCTCCTTGAAATTTGTTCTTCTATAAATACTCGGGTACTGCGTCAAATTGCTGCTTGTTGGGAGAATAGCCAGCTCTGGGCAAGATGAAGGTTTTCGCGCTTCTGCTGTTAGCTGGAGTTTCTCTTGCTCATCGCGGTAGAGGAGGTAAGGCATCCACTTAACCTGGCTACATCAAATGTTGATATCTTTTGATCACTCCATTGGTCCTATCAGAATTACTGACCTTAACATTTTTAGTCTCAGTGAATTTCTCTACCGATACAAAATGTTATGCTCAGCGATCGAATTTGACGAACTAGAGAATTTTAGATTATCAGACAGCCAAACAGAACATTCTTTACGAAACTTCAAAAACTCAAAATGAATTAAATCTTTATTTCTTTGATCTTCAGACGTGTCCTATTGAAAACATTTCAGTGCGCAATGTTTTCCAGTGTTGTTCCATTGTTATGTAACAAGACTTTAAACTCTGCCGTTTTAATTTCCAAGAGAGAAGTACATCTTAAATGTTTTCACAAATTTACTGACGATTATTTTCAAAACATGTAGGTGATCGTGACATGCTCAAGATTGACCCAGAGGACCCCCGTTTCGTGAAAGGTAACAACTTCCTTATATTCGTCAAGGACGTCTTTCTTCCTCTAGTTTCTTGCCGTCTTCCTCGTTTTCCATACGCATTACTATAAATATCATTCTCAGAGGCTCTAGTGGCAACTCTAAGTCTTTTAGCGGAAAGAAACTCATGTTATTTTGCAACACATCGAATAACGTAATCACTGCATTGTTGGAGTGTCTGCGTCACTGCCTTTTTTTTCTGCAAATTATGTTCAAGTTGAGTGAAAATCAGAACTGCAAAAGACAATCGGGAGCAGCGAATTAAAAGATTGCACTGCAAAAATAAAGCGCTTAAAATTCTTTTGTTTAAAATACTTTCAACATGTTTGGATTGCTTAGCTAATTATTGCGTAACAGTTTGCAGGTTCTTTCCCTGACAATCTTGGTAATTCGTCGTACTCTTGTTCAAGTGGAGTAAAAAAAGCAATACAGAGATACAAAAGCAGACACTAATTTCGTCCTAAAACAGTATGATAGAACCAGGATTAAACAAACCTACTTTTTCCCTTAGAATTGAATCTTCTCGAAAAATCCATCAAGCAGCAAAATCGCCAAAACGAAACCAGTTCACCCTAAACGAAATCGCGTGATTTCCTGTTAATGACGTCACACGTGTTCCTCTGACCCCTGATAAACAAATTTGCTGCATCATCCAGCATTCTCACTGACATAAAAAAAGTCAAGTTTAAAAGCCACAGGTAAATACAAAGCCCTTGATAATGAATGAAAATCGCAGTAAACATTCGAATTCAAATAGCAACAGGAGAGCGAGCAAGAAAATAATAATCGTGGAACGTGACCGATAAACATTTTAGAAAAACTTGCTTGTCAACTCGGACGCAAGTTTTTGAGATAAAGGCTTTGTCCAGCTTATCTGTACATCTTTAAAATAAATATGAAATTTCCTCTCATCACTGAAAATCTATTGTACACAAGAATTTTTAAAATGTAACCTTTGATCGGTTGAGTGTTTATCAAAAAACTAATCCCTCTTTAGTGACCCTCAATTGATTCGGAAGTTGCATTTTTTTTTCGGAAAACGCACCGACCTCAATTGAGTGGAAAGGAAATTAGAAACTAGAAGCGTGTGAACCTTGCGGCCCCTTACCAAGACATATGACACATGAAAGACGTTGTTAATTTTCCCTAGAAATATCTATTTCTCATTATAAATAACTGGCCCAGGCGTATCATGCAGGCATATCATGCAGACATGTAATTAAGGTAACCTTAAACTGGTTGGGACAATTCAAAGAGCCTTTCACCTTTCTCAAGCTGTTTATTTAAAGAAATAGTTTTACAGATTTTCTAAGAAGAATAGCACTATCGGCTTAGGATAGGCGAATTTCCGTTTCAAACTGATTTAGGCATATTTTTCGTGTAATTTTCGCAGTTGGTGTGAAGTCTTATCGACTTAACCAACGTATTAGATGTAGAATCTCCTCGCATAACTCGAGAAAAACAAGATATCTTGGTGCCATTTCACCAAGATCATGTCAACTCAGTTCCACTTCTCTGACAACATTTATATTCAGTTGGGGAGCAAAAGGACTTGGGGCGGGCAAGTTGGGAGAGACGGATAAAAGAGAACCATGGTCGCTTTTGCACTGCGCATCTCTACTGCGCACGACTTTCGCGTCATTATCGCGCGCACATGAGCGCGTGCGCGTACAAAACGTAAGAGATTTCCCTCAAACTAAGCTCGATAGCAAGGTAAATGCTCCTTTTCTCTAAAACGAGCACGGTGACCCCTACTTTTTATTTCATAATTTCAATGAGAAAAAAAAATAGCAGCAATCTATGGCTACTTTTGTGGCAAAAGAAATAAATAATACAGAGAGAGACATGACGGGCCCAACAGCGCACGTCCAAATTATATTTCCTTTACAGGATAAAAAAATGCAGGGTATTTGAAGACATTTTTTCCGGGACGTAGATGAATAAACAATCAAAGAAAGTCAAACTCTGTGGGATATAACATGCTGCATTGAAAAAAATTCGAGATTATTTGTTGCGCAATGAGACTACCAAAAGTCACCTAAGTAACCGTATTTGTCAGCATTGTGGCGTGAAAACAAGCACGGTGACATCCATTACCGGTGAAATCCTTTTATTGCGTTTTTAACATCTCCTCGTCCTGTAACAACAGCATACCAAGTTTCATCGGCAAATTATGTTGGGTTCTTTTACCGGGGAATCACCTTAAGCCAGCGTTGATTCCCAGGGATGTTCTTCGTCCAAGTTAACCTTGAAACATATATGCGATGGCAAGCAGACTGGTTATGAGAATAAATAAACTAATCAACTAGCTATAGGGGATGTCTGTATTTACCGCCAAATTCTCAAACTAAACTTAAAAATAATGAGCGATGGTTAGTGAGGAGAATTAATTTTACGATCAGCATGGGAGCGAAATGGTTAGCATCTTTACTGACCAAAGATCGCTGAAGACACTTTTCTTTCTTCGCGTCTTCATATATTTATTTATTTACATTTATTTATTTTCGGTTTGTCCTTGATTATTGCTTGCTTTCTTTTGTAGTTGCTTTTCTATTGACTAAATCTTTGTTTGTCCTTCAGCTAGTGGTCAGTGGCTTGTTTGTCAGTTTGTTTCCTTGATTTCCGGGTTTTTAGATAGCTTTTTTGGGTTCTTTACTAGTTAATAGGTTTTGTATTTGATTCTGTAGCACGTTTGTTTGCTTCTTAGTTCGTTCATTTGCTTAATTATTTGTTATTTATTTATTTGTTTGTTTATTTTAGGTTACAAACCGCTGAACACTTATACCTACGATTATTGGGCGTGTGTAACCAGCGGTTTCCCAGAAACTGAGAGGCGGTTTGCTGGCCTGAAGATCACATGTGAAACAGATTTCGTGATCTACTCAGAGACACGTGCATTTCTCAAGGTCAATATCAGATAAGTGAAACTTGATCCATCTTATCGACTTGGGTTTTGAACTGAACCAGAGAACGACTAGATCGGAGGGGGGGGGGGGGGAAGAAACTCCCTTATATGGGCTACATAGGTACGTGCGGCCCCAAAGTGTATGGTTTTCAGCCGTTTTGGTCATAAATCGGGTATCGATTTTGGCCATTTTGGTCATAAAATAGGGTATGGTTTTTGCACTTTGGTCTTGAACTGGGTATGTTTTTTTTTAGGAGGACTACTTTTTCAGGTCATAAATAGGGTCCGTAAAATCACGGATTTTGGTCGTAAAGTTGTCCAGAGTTGTACAGAGAAGCGTGCTGCAGCCCGATCCAGCCAATGCTTATTCTAACTTTTAGGAAATTATACATAGTGTTCAGTCCTTCGCCACGGAAAATGGCATCGTCCATGATGAGTCTTTCGACGTTGAACTGGATGCAGTCCTCAGTCTTGNCCCCCCCCCCCCCCCCGCCCCCGCCGGGACTAGATTAACTGGAGAATAAGACGCTCAATGTTCTCCGAGGCGAAGTCGAGGGTCGAAGAGAAACAATATCCTTGCAATTTTTCTTGTGGGGCCAGTCACTAGGTGTTTTGTTATACCTCCCAACTCAAAAAATAGATCAAACTGGGAAAAAATTATTTGCTTGAAGCCGGCTGGCACACAAATTTGCCGCGGTTTCAAGGTGCACGACCTGATCGCGTGCGAGTCGAAAGTTCAATTTGTTGTTTCCCTAAGGAGTGAGCGAGATTTGACCCTTGGATCGACCCGTTCTCCTCCAATCGGAAAACGTATTTGAGTTGGGAGGTATGTATAACAATATTGTTTTGTTTTTTCCTTTCAGATCAGAAACCCTATCCTGTATGAAGTAAATGGAACATCGCAATACTGCAAGTCTCGATACGGTGGCTCGCTGAAGATCTCCCCAGTCTCCGAGGAGCTCGCACCTCTTCTTGAGCGTCCAATTGAGTTTGAATACAAAGAAGGGAAGGTTGGAAAGATTTACTGCAGCGACGAGGAGCCAGAATACATCTTGAACATCAAAAGAGGAATTCTCTCTATTCTTCATCATAACTTCACCAAACCCGAGCTTTCCATTGACGATAAAGAGCCACGAATGTACAAGAACTGGGAGGTAGTTTATTTTTCATTTAGCTCTTATTAACCTGAGCCCGGTTGTTCGAAAGCCGATTGACGCTAATCCAGAATTAAAAGTTAATCAGAGGTCTAATTTCTCTTGAATCAAAGTGTTTTCACTGTCCATGTTTCCTGGAGTTCGACATTAATCAAAGCCAAAATCGAAGGACAAAAAAGTTAAACAGAAAACTTCACTGAAGAGTTACAAAATTGAAATAGAAATTTACGCTAATCCTGGATTAGCTTAATCGTGCTTTGAACAACCCGCCCCTGGCAGGAGGTATGTATAGGAGAATCTTGATTGAGGTCTGCACACACTACCTCAGTCAAGATTCTCCTATACAGACCGACTAAGCTCGGTTAATAAGATATTTATTATATGGCAAACAAAAAAACTTTAATATGTTTAATGTAGCTGGTTTGTACTAGCTGATATTTTGCTTGCGAAAGGTGATGAGCTGAATTTAAATCTGCCAAAGTTTGCTGATCCTTTTTACTTTATTTTTCTCACCAGGCATTTTGGCACTTCCATAAAAAATATTTTTTAGAAGAAAATAGTCAATATATTTGTATTTTAGTTTGCAATTTTTTAACTCCAAATGTAACCAGTCTAGATGTCGGTCTAGACCGCGGTCAATATCGATTTCAGGCAATCAAATTCGTGAATTCGGTAGTTCTCAACCCTTGTAACACACAGTCCGATATAATAAAATACTGTCCTTGTGAGTCGTTCAGCGTTTTATTGCAGAGAGTTGCGTCCAAATTATAAAAGTTTTTGATGATTTTCCGAGGACTTTAAACTGATTCCCACATATATTTTATAATAATAATAATAATAATAATAGTGATAATGATAATGATAATGATAATGATAATAATAAAGACATTATTTAAGGAGGGTTAACACTTAATTAGTTTAATTTGAGATGATTATCCAAAGCTGAATCGATTATTCCCAAACGTTTCACAGACATTTCCGAAGATTTTGTTGTTGTTGTTGTTTTTCATTTCAGTGCAATTTGGAGCTAATTAGTATTGGTATCTTCAGGGACAGCAAATAGCTTTTTTTGTGCTTTTTGTTAGACAAACAGCTAGAAAGTAAAACTTGAGAAAAAATCTGGTTTTTTTTCTTCACAGTTTGGCTCACATGGAATGTGTGAAAATTTGTACGATGTGCGATATATCCCGGAGACCAAGACGATCAAAGAAATGCAAGTCTCCAAGATCTTAAACATGAAAAACTGCACAGGAAAACCACGAGTGTTTTCTAACGTTCCTGGAGTTCGTTGCCTCAACAACAGCTGCAACATCGACGAGGTAGTTCCCACCTTGTTCTCTCTGTCTGTATATGTCTGTCTGTCTTTCTGTCTGTCTGTCTGTCTGTCTGTTAGTCTTCTTGTTCATGTTAATCTAGTTTGTGAAGACTTTTTCCCCTACCGTCCATTTTCCCTTTCCTTCATCATTTCTCGCCCCCTTCGATTTAGATTTAATCCAAATTGAATGAAAAAGAAGATTCTCCAACTACCCGTCCAATTGTATTAGCATTTTCTCAGGATAGTGAATTATTGCTAAGGAAAATTAAGGAATTTTTAATTTAAACGACGACTGGCTGATATTCCAAACATTTACGATGGGGCACGAAAGACTGGAGTTTCTTTGGATTCTTTTAATCTTCTATAAATTTGCAACATTTCCCCTTTGTAACGTTCAGTTTAGACTTTTACGTAACGCTCTTAGCACGCAAGAAAAGGGGAAACGGTTGCCCCCAGAAAAGAAGTATACTGACTGAGAGAACGTGCAATTTACCGTGACGTCATCTCATTATTTGGTTGTCATCTATTTTATTCGCAGCCATTGAAGATTTCCGTGTCCTCGTCATGTGATCTGCTGGGATCGGAAGACAATTTCGTGGTGAAGAAATGTAATGTAGAGGGAAAATACATTTTTACGCCAACGCAGATGAAAGGAAGTGGAATGACTTTAACTAAGTACATAACTCCTTTACTTATTCCCCGATTCATGATGGCGGTTGTTAGGAAATGATAAAGTCGTTTCTGCATCATATGAAGTCATTATTCCATGTTACATGGACCTCAAATAAAATACTTTTTGCACGTCTTGTAAATCCTCCATGGTTCACCGTTATACATAAATAATTTTCTAAGAATAGCCCCTCTTCTGCCCTCGGGCCCAGCAGACCGAAAAAAAGCCTTGTACGTCTGGATGGGGTTGAGGTAGCAAAACGACAAGGACAAAATAATAAAGTAACAAATTTATAAACCAGAAAGAGACAATTATAGTTAAGATAAGGGAAGATTGAGAGGGACTGGGAACGACGTTCAGTGTGAAGCGCATGCTAGCAAGAGCTGCAAATCATTTATAATCGAACAAAGGTGAAGTAGAAAGTGTTGAATTATAAAAGAAAGACCGCCAGATAGACAGTTGCAATGCTGAAAGAGAATCACCTACAACCAATTTTGTGATTGTTACTTTCCAGACAATATGTGACGTTTAAAGAAGTGAAGGCTGAATCAGAGAGCTGTGAGTATTTTTTTCTATACAGACTGCAATTACTAAGGCTATTTTATTGTGGTTTTGTACTTTTTTAATTCGTCTTCTCCTTTGTCTTAATTGTTCTTCCACATCTTAATTGCATACGCAAAGAACAATGGAAAAAGTAAAACTTTTATCAGGCAACGCGGAATAACTTCGAGTCAATGTTTCAGATGAAGTTGGAGGTGACATTCCGAGGACACTTGAAATGACATATTATGACGAGGAAGACAAACCGCTGACCGAGAAGGAAAGGAGTGAAATTGCCATGAAGGTTAGTTTCTTGGGGGAAAAAATGTGTATTTGGTTGCGGCGTTTCTGTCGCTTTAGTGTTAAACCATCGAACATAGATAGGCCAGTTTTCAATTCAGCCAAAGGCAACTTGTTCATTTGAAATAGATAAACACAACCAATTATTTAAATCCCCAAAAATCTAAAAACGCTCCTTTTCCCCTCCCTTAATTATCCTTGTCTCTCTGCACACGTTTTTCCATAACTCATATCATTCTTTCGTTCGTTATTAATTGTCTTTAACTATTCCACTATTCCATTCAGACGGAGAAGATGATGGATTCTCTCGTCAAGAGTGTGGAGCAGAAGGAGTGGAAGGCATGGAAATTCACTGCTTTGGTGGAAACCTTACGCAAGGTCGACAAACAAACACTTCTGGAGATGTGGGAACACTGTTACAATGACGACAAGCACAGGTGCTTGCTAGAATTTGTTTTCAACCGTATGGATTTTAATCCTTTGAACTTAGAGATGAGCTTTGTTTACTTAATTTTGATACCCTCATTGTATATTCCTTAGAAGTCATTTTAGACATTTTAAAAGGTGGCAATGGGCTTGAAAATTTATGATTGTTAAAAGACATTGTGGAAGTTTTGAGTCTTCTCTAATAGCGCGACACAACAACAACGGCGTTTGTTCGACCCAAAGACCAACGTAAATTTCAATAACTAAAGAGCTAGGAAGCCAGATCAGTCTTTGCTGTTTTCATGAGTGCCCTCTATCCTGTTGGAATTGGAATTTAGAGATGTTGGTTTTCATGGAAGGAGGAAAATTAAACCGGCCATGAACCAGGAGAAAACCCTCGGACTGGCAAGCCGAGAACAAATAACAAACTCAACCCACATATGGCACCGGGCCAGAATCGAAGTGAGAGGCGAGCGCTTCACCTTTGTGTCATCCTTTCTCCATCCCTAGCCTGAGCTTGCTTTTACTTATGTAGGGAACTTCCTTTAAAGATAGCTAAACTAAGTCCCTTAAAAAATAGGCAATGGTTCCTGGAAGCGCTGCCTTATGTCTACAAGGAGGAAGTGTTTGAACTCATTGCGGAGAAAATCTACACACGAGATCTGGAACCGAAGCTGGCAGTCCCAGTTCTTCGCGGTCTGGCTTTAACCACCAACGCAACCGAAAAAATGTGTCAGGACATTTCGGTAAGAAACAGGCTTACATGTCTTTTAATTCTGTGTGCTCCGCATTAAAACTTGTGGCAAAATCTCCCATCGCCTGATTTTTCTATATTATGCGTTTAAACTAAGTTTACACTTATTTCCACACTTGTTTTCCGTCTCTTGCTAAGGATCTCTGCTCTCGTGCTGCCGTGCAAGAAGACGAAGCTCTGAAAATGACCTGCTACCTTACATCGGGAGCTTTGATGCATGAATACTGCAAGAAAAAGGATCATACCTGCCTCACTGACAAAGCAACGGTAAGTTTACCCACATAAATTCGTTTAGCAATTTGGATTGGCTGTTTACTACGCGCGAAAATTCAAAATCGAGTAACAACGAATCAGAGACACTACAAGGTTTTCTGTAGAGTTACGTCATCAGTGTGGAATCTTTCGGGTTCAGTCTTAGAAGTGTATCGAACGAGAAAAGAATTAAGCGAAAAGAGAGGCGAGAGAGAGATTTCCTTATCCGCGAGACTACCGGGGAAATTTCCTTTGTGAAAAGCTGTTTGACCCATGATTAGAACCTCACCCCAATGTGCACTTTTACAGGAGCTAAAGAACCGTTTGCTGACCGCCAAATACCAGGAAAAGATGTTCATTTTGAAAGCGATCGGTAATTTTGGACACAAAACCCTCTACAAACCTCTCCTAGACATCATTCAAGACCACAAGAACACACTGGAGTTACGCGTGACAGCAGTTTACGCCTTGAGAAGAATTGCTCCTAAAGTCCCACAAAAGGTAATTTACTTTGCTAGTCACACAATATTCTTCAAACCTAATCGCTGTTGACATATTGAACACCTGATCACACCACTGTTTGTCTACCCTCCTTCGGCTATGTCACCATCATCACTGGTGACAATACAGTGAGAAGAATTGCTCCTTAAGTCCCACACTCTAATAGTCACGCAAGATCCTTGAAAACCTACTCGCTGTTCACATTAAACGCCTACTCACGCCACTCTGTCTTCCCTCCCTCGGCTATGTCATGCTATCATTGTTAGCTTTTTTGATGATCGATGTGCAAAACTACTTTCAAATAAAGAGAAACATAATATACGATTAACTTGAAAATTTAGTTGGGCAAAATATTCTTCAAGTTGCACCATCTGCGACTCTTCTCTGCAAGCAAAGGCAACGAGATATTGTAAGCCCTATAAATTGACATAGGCTTTCGACGCAACAGCCAAGTAGTATATTGCCGATGGCATTAATAACATATTCTTTTTTCATTAAAATAATGAAAGGTTGCAGGAAAATGTGTCGAGCAAAAGGACATGAATGATCTGAGATCTTTCATATATTCACTTGAACAGAATTGTTTTCTGTTTTCCACGAAATCAACTTTGTATTACAATAAAATTGCAATAACTTATAACGTCCTTACCTACCCCTCTCTAGGTACTACCAGTGCTGTTACAGATTTTCCGTCAACCTTTGATTGACACAGAACTGCGCATGGCTTGTTTCGTTATCATGTGTGACTGCAAACCAGGTCCAGCGGTGTTCAACCTGATTACCAAGCAGCTCTTTTACGAGCGCACCAATCAAGTGCGATCATTCGTGGTGTCTTACATCAAGGGGATGGCATTCTCTAAATATCCTTGCGATGAAAGGATGTAAGCTAAAAGATTACTGTTGTTACTACAATTTACCTCTTTTGTGGTTGAAACGATTCGACAAAATAATCATATGTTTTTCGTCTCAGTCTGGTCTTATGCACCTCCCCTCAACAGCCGGCTAGTCTGAACGACCAAAAGTGACCTCAAAACGTACTAATATAATTAGTTTTCTGCGAATTAGAAAATAGAAAACCGTTTTTCAGCCAGTCGAGCCATCGTAGATCATCTAAAGCTTTTTGTACCTTTAGATTTCAATTTCTAGGGATAATCAGCAAACTTTCGCCTTTTCAAAAACTGCTCCGAATTGATGTAATATATCAAGAACGAAAGACCGTGTTTGACTACATTTCCAAACACCGAGAAGAGAGTTGAAATTACGACGCGCAGCGGAGTATTATCAACGACCTTCAAGGTGTTTGGAAATGAGGTCAAACACTGTCTTAAGTATTTGATATATCTTTTCAATGGCAGTTAAAACTATGGAGACAACGGGAGAAATAAAATCGTAAAAATCTATGCTAATTAAGATCAAATACCCAAACACCGTTACGGTCATTATGTCCTTTGTTTAAACTCGATGGACTATCAATGAGTTTGAGAGGTACACATATCTAACTGGAGTTAGATTCACGAGCAGATGTACTATTCGGAGCATGTCTCCCTTAACATTCAAGCGCAGCCCACTATGTATTGACGTTTAAGTCATTATGTCCTCAAAAGATCGCTCCCCCACCCCACCCCTCACCGTCATATGCCGACTTGTCTTTGTTCCTGAAAGTTTCAAAATTGAGAAGCACTAAAATTTTTATCACACTATTTGTAACTAATTGCTTGATTTTGTTACAGGGCTTCAACAGCAAGAGTTGCTCTCCGAATGCTCAGAAAGTACAAGTTGAGTTTCTTGAGCTCCAAATGGCTCCACTTTGGCGAATACTCCGGTAAGTAAAAAAAAAAAACAGTCGAAATACCTCGTAGAGAAAAAAAAAAACTACTAAGATTTTACAAGGAACCAAGAGGAAATTTATCAAAACATTTTCCCCGCTAGATCACTAATGCAGTTATATGTTGCTATTAAAATTATCCGACTTCTAAATAACTGGATATGTATTTCAAAATCATCTTAGTGGAGAGCGAACCTTAAGAAAAATCTTTTTCATGTTATTCAGTCTCGCTGTTTTAAGATTAATTTTTTTGGCTGTGTCTTCAGAGCTTCTTCAAATGGGCGGATCAGTGGATCTCCAGATGATTTCGACGCCATCAAGTATTATCCCCAGAGCTCTCAACACTAAAGTCAAGATGCAGGTCCTTGGAAAGTCTCTCAATTTGTTTGAGGTGAGTACAAATGCAGCGAAATCATTGTCCTTGGGAACACTAGAAAATCTCAAAACAGTAATTTTCTTATAGAAAATGATAAAGTGCAGGAGTCGCAAATAGTTAATCAAACTAACAGGCCATCAAGGTAAGTGGATGGGTGACATTAAGAATTACAGACGATCACAAACGACGATAAATTGGACAAAGTTAGCCTGAATTTGAAAACATAGCTTCCTAGAAATTTAACAGGAAATCTTGAGGGACGGATGCAAGAATAGATGAAAGCCCGAAAGTGTGAACGCAAAAAACGGGCATAGCGCACGGAACGCGATTGAGTGTACAAAACGCACAAAACAACACATTTAGTGGACGAAACGCAAAAAGCGTATGCAACCAGGCACGAAGCACACGAGCACATTAAACGCGCGAAACTGATTAAGTGCACGGGATGCACGAAGCGCAGTGAGTTATAAGAAGAGCACCCGATTACAGTAAACTCGAAGCAAGGATGAAATCAAACCTCTCTCCCGGTCTAAAAAGCTTATTTCTTCCATATCGGTTGCGCCAAATGAACTCATGCATTTGAAAGTAAACTGAAGATCGGTGAATAGGATTTAAGGGCGCAAACAAGGTGTCGCAAAATGCATTACTATACTAAATACCTTGTCTACCTGCGCTACTCTAACTGACCAGAATGTTCCTTTGATATTTCATACTTTGTTAGACTGGTGTCAGAGGTGAAGGAATACAAGAACTGCTTCAGCGTGTAGTAGGACCCCGAGGACATTACAGCAAGGAAAAATCTCTGTTTGGTTTGCTCAGGCCAAGGCGGAGTTTGAATAAAAACTTAAACGACAAAGAACTCAAGGAAATACAAAAACTGGTAAGTCATGCTTGTTGTAAAAGGTGAAATAAAAATAATCCGGTGAGTGAACTTTTTCAAGAACTTGCGACTAGAAACTTTTCGCGAACAACATCGTTGCAGAAATAACTGATTTACGTTACTTTTTAACTACGAATCTCTCAAGCAGGCAATTAGCGTAGAGGCGAGAGCGCTCACCTCCCGGTTTCTTCCCTCCTGAAGCACCAACATCTCCAAATTCCAATTCCATCAGAATAGAAGAATCGCATAAAAACCAGCTAGGGCTGATGTGGCCTCCTCCCTTAATATTATAATACATTTATTTGTTTATTTATCTCGAACTATCCTTAAGCTGAATATCTATAAGACAGTGGCGTTCAAATCCAGATAGAAACCGTGATTAAAAAAAAAAAGCGTCTGCGGCGCAGTCTATTTTCTCTAAGATACTTAGCTTAGAACGTAGCCATTCAGTCGCTATTTAGCAGATGACGACTATGTGGAACATACCATGACGTATATTGCACGTGCAAAGTCATTTTACTGCAACATTGTCAATTCGAAGCTGTTGCCGTTGGTAATTTCCAGAGTTATATGTGAGGTTTCGTCCTGATCAGAGTGTTCCTTGTTTTAATTAGCTTCCAATCACTGAATACGAAGAAGAGAAGGCGAAAGGCTCGTTTTACTTCAAAGTTCTTGGCAAGGAATTGATTTACAACTACTTCACTTATGATGACGTCAAAGAGTTGATCGAAGATGGAGTCATTAGGGTTAACAACGATCTCAAAGATATGCTAAAGAAAGGTGAGAAAAGACCTACTAACTTTGAAAAAAGTCAATTAAAGTTTCAGCTTATTGTTGTGTTTTGCTTTGTTTTGCTTTAGAAGTAAGGTTTTTGAAAGGCGCGGTGTCCTCGTGGTTAGTGCGCTCGACTCCGAATCAAGTGGTCCGGCCGGGTTTGAGCCCTGGCCGGGGACATTGTGTTGTGTTTTTTGGCAAGGCACCTGACTCTCGTTGATCCTCTCCTCTCTCCACCCTGGTGTATAAATGAGTACCGGCGAATTTAATGCTGGAGGGTAACCCTGCGATGGACTAATATTCCATCCGGGGGATGTAGAATTACTCCTAGTCGCTTCACGTTACTGAACCGGAGACGAGCGCCGACCTGATGGACCACTTAACTCTCATACAGACTTAACCTTCCGTACCTTTAGTAAGGTTTTTGTTGTTGCATTTTCTACAGGTAAAAACTGGAACATGACCAAAGTATTCGTACCTGTTGAGGTGAAGTTTTACCAGCCCTCATGTGTCGGTCTTCCTTTGAAATTCTCTCTGGAAAGTGTTTTGTTCCTGCGGGTGAACACTACCGTTAAAGCTGAAGTTCAACCAAAATTCTTTATTCCTCTTCCTGATCAAGTGACAGTCAGTGGAAAGATAAATGTCAGGTATGGCTTTGCATAACAGATTAAATTATTGTATTTTTCTTCTGTCGAATAACACCTATACCAAAGCCGGGTGCAGAACCGTTGTTTTCCTCCTATGGCTCTCTCCTTCGCAGAGGTTCCCGGGACTGAACGGGCGCGTGGGGGACGATGGGAAGTGAGAAAGGGCGGGAGCCTCGCCTCTCTTCTCTTTTTCCACTTCCTGGAGTTCCCCGCGCGCTTCCTTTATTACATCTCCCCATCCTCCCAAGCCTACACGGCTTTCATTGGTTATGATTGTCGTGAAGCAAATTTTGCGATATTTTTCAAGTCGTATATTATTCACAACAATCGTCAGTAAGCTTTAATTAGGTTTCATTTACAAGAAACAGTTTGCGTCGTAGACTTCTCGTAAGCTTGTCGACCCTAACTATCTTTTTTCTTTTTCATCTGCAGTGTCTTGCACTCCACGTGGGGAAAAATGAAGGTTTGCCTGCCTCAACTTGAGACGGGCTGCAAAATGAAAATGAAGATTAATATGACAACAAGTCTAGGAGGCAGTCTGCAATGTAAACTCAAAGATCAGAGTTACACTACAGAGCTTGATGTGCCAAAGGAAAGACAGGAAATTTTCTCAACAGAGTAAGCATATATTTCGGACCCTTTTTTATTATGCGTGGCTTATACCTCTGTTCAGTCCAACAAGAATGGCACGCAAATCCGTCAAGAACATCATTTGAGTCATTTTGCAATATACTTCAATTATCCAGTGAAGTTGCCTGGAATATTACTTGATATCTGCTGAACAGAGATGGCAGACATTAAGAACTTCCTGGNAGTTGCACCATCTGCGACTCTTCTCTGCAAGCAAAGGCAACGAGATATTGTAAGCCCTATAAATTGACATAGGCTTTCGACGCAACAGCCAAGTAGTATATTGCCGATGGCATTAATAACATATTCTTTTTTCATTAAAATAATGAAAGGTTGCAGGAAAATGTGTCGAGCAAAAGGACATGAATGATCTGAGATCTTTCATATATTCACTTGAACAGAATTGTTTTCTGTTTTCCACGAAATCAACTTTGTATTACAATAAAATTGCAATAACTTATAACGTCCTTACCTACCCCTCTCTAGGTACTACCAGTGCTGTTACAGATTTTCCGTCAACCTTTGATTGACACAGAACTGCGCATGGCTTGTTTCGTTATCATGTGTGACTGCAAACCAGGTCCAGCGGTGTTCAACCTGATTACCAAGCAGCTCTTTTACGAGCGCACCAATCAAGTGCGATCATTCGTGGTGTCTTACATCAAGGGGATGGCATTCTCTAAATATCCTTGCGATGAAAGGATGTAAGCTAAAAGATTACTGTTGTTACTACAATTTACCTCTTTTGTGGTTGAAACGATTCGACAAAATAATCATATGTTTTTCGTCTCAGTCTGGTCTTATGCACCTCCCCTCAACAGCCGGCTAGTCTGAACGACCAAAAGTGACCTCAAAACGTACTAATATAATTAGTTTTCTGCGAATTAGAAAATAGAAAACCGTTTTTCAGCCAGTCGAGCCATCGTAGATCATCTAAAGCTTTTTGTACCTTTAGATTTCAATTTCTAGGGATAATCAGCAAACTTTCGCCTTTTCAAAAACTGCTCCGAATTGATGTAATATATCAAGAACGAAAGACCGTGTTTGACTACATTTCCAAACACCGAGAAGAGAGTTGAAATTACGACGCGCAGCGGAGTATTATCAACGACCTTCAAGGTGTTTGGAAATGAGGTCAAACACTGTCTTAAGTATTTGATATATCTTTTCAATGGCAGTTAAAACTATGGAGACAACGGGAGAAATAAAATCGTAAAAATCTATGCTAATTAAGATCAAATACCCAAACACCGTTACGGTCATTATGTCCTTTGTTTAAACTCGATGGACTATCAATGAGTTTGAGAGGTACACATATCTAACTGGAGTTAGATTCACGAGCAGATGTACTATTCGGAGCATGTCTCCCTTAACATTCAAGCGCAGCCCACTATGTATTGACGTTTAAGTCATTATGTCCTCAAAAGATCGCTCCCCCACCCCACCCCTCACCGTCATATGCCGACTTGTCTTTGTTCCTGAAAGTTTCAAAATTGAGAAGCACTAAAATTTTTATCACACTATTTGTAACTAATTGCTTGATTTTGTTACAGGGCTTCAACAGCAAGAGTTGCTCTCCGAATGCTCAGAAAGTACAAGTTGAGTTTCTTGAGCTCCAAATGGCTCCACTTTGGCGAATACTCCGGTAAGTAAAAAAAAAAAACAGTCGAAATACCTCGTAGAGAAAAAAAAAAACTACTAAGATTTTACAAGGAACCAAGAGGAAATTTATCAAAACATTTTCCCCGCTAGATCACTAATGCAGTTATATGTTGCTATTAAAATTATCCGACTTCTAAATAACTGGATATGTATTTCAAAATCATCTTAGTGGAGAGCGAACCTTAAGAAAAATCTTTTTCATGTTATTCAGTCTCGCTGTTTTAAGATTAATTTTTTTGGCTGTGTCTTCAGAGCTTCTTCAAATGGGCGGATCAGTGGATCTCCAGATGATTTCGACGCCATCAAGTATTATCCCCAGAGCTCTCAACACTAAAGTCAAGATGCAGGTCCTTGGAAAGTCTCTCAATTTGTTTGAGGTGAGTACAAATGCAGCGAAATCATTGTCCTTGGGAACACTAGAAAATCTCAAAACAGTAATTTTCTTATAGAAAATGATAAAGTGCAGGAGTCGCAAATAGTTAATCAAACTAACAGGCCATCAAGGTAAGTGGATGGGTGACATTAAGAATTACAGACGATCACAAACGACGATAAATTGGACAAAGTTAGCCTGAATTTGAAAACATAGCTTCCTAGAAATTTAACAGGAAATCTTGAGGGACGGATGCAAGAATAGATGAAAGCCCGAAAGTGTGAACGCAAAAAACGGGCATAGCGCACGGAACGCGATTGAGTGTACAAAACGCACAAAACAACACATTTAGTGGACGAAACGCAAAAAGCGTATGCAACCAGGCACGAAGCACACGAGCACATTAAACGCGCGAAACTGATTAAGTGCACGGGATGCACGAAGCGCAGTGAGTTATAAGAAGAGCACCCGATTACAGTAAACTCGAAGCAAGGATGAAATCAAACCTCTCTCCCGGTCTAAAAAGCTTATTTCTTCCATATCGGTTGCGCCAAATGAACTCATGCATTTGAAAGTAAACTGACGATCGGTGAATAGGATTTAAGGGCGCAAACAAGGTGTCGCAAAATGCATTACTATACTAAATACCTTGTCTACCTGCGCTACTCTAACTGACCAGAATGTTCCTTTGATATTTCATACTTTGTTAGACTGGTGTCAGAGGTGAAGGAATACAAGAACTGCTTCAGCGTGTAGTAGGACCCCGAGGACATTACAGCAAGGAAAAATCTCTGTTTGGTTTGCTCAGGCCAAGGCGGAGTTTGAATAAAAACTTAAACGACAAAGAACTCAAGGAAATACAAAAACTGGTAAGTCATGCTTGTTGTAAAAGGTGAAATAAAAATAATCCGGTGAGTGAACTTTTTCAAGAACTTGCGACTAGAAACTTTTCGCGAACAACATCGTTGCAGAAATAACTGATTTACGTTACTTTTTAACTACGAATCTCTCAAGCAGGCAATTAGCGTAGAGGCGAGAGCGCTCACCTCCCGGTTTCTTCCCTCCTGAAGCACCAACATCTCCAAATTCCAATTCCATCAGAATAGAAGAATCGCATAAAAACCAGCTAGGGCTGATGTGGCCTCCTCCCTTAATATTATAATACATTTATTTGTTTATTTATCTCGAACTATCCTTAAGCTGAATATCTATAAGACAGTGGCGTTCAAATCCAGATAGAAACCGTGATTAAAAAAAAAAAGCGTCTGCGGCGCAGTCTATTTTCTCTAAGATACTTAGCTTAGAACGTAGCCATTCAGTCGCTATTTAGCAGATGACGACTATGTGGAACATACCATGACGTATATTGCACGTGCAAAGTCATTTTACTGCAACATTGTCAATTCGAAGCTGTTGCCGTTGGTAATTTCCAGAGTTATATGTGAGGTTTCGTCCTGATCAGAGTGTTCCTTGTTTTAATTAGCTTCCAATCACTGAATACGAAGAAGAGAAGGCGAAAGGCTCGTTTTACTTCAAAGTTCTTGGCAAGGAATTGATTTACAACTACTTCACTTATGATGACGTCAAAGAGTTGATCGAAGATGGAGTCATTAGGGTTAACAACGATCTCAAAGATATGCTAAAGAAAGGTGAGAAAAGACCTACTAACTTTGAAAAAAGTCAATTAAAGTTTCAGCTTATTGTTGTGTTTTGCTTTGTTTTGCTTTAGAAGTAAGGTTTTTGAAAGGCGCGGTGTCCTCGTGGTTAGTGCGCTCGACTCCGAATCAAGTGGTCCGGCCGGGTTTGAGCCCTGGCCGGGGACATTGTGTTGTGTTTTTTGGCAAGGCACCTGACTCTCGTTGATCCTCTCCTCTCTCCACCCTGGTGTATAAATGAGTACCGGCGAATTTAATGCTGGAGGGTAACCCTGCGATGGACTAATATTCCATCCGGGGGATGTAGAATTACTCCTAGTCGCTTCACGTTACTGAACCGGAGACGAGCGCCGACCTGATGGACCACTTAACTCTCATACAGACTTAACCTTCCGTACCTTTAGTAAGGTTTTTGTTGTTGCATTTTCTACAGGTAAAAACTGGAACATGACCAAAGTATTCGTACCTGTTGAGGTGAAGTTTTACCAGCCCTCATGTGTCGGTCTTCCTTTGAAATTCTCTCTGGAAAGTGTTTTGTTCCTGCGGGTGAACACTACCGTTAAAGCTGAAGTTCAACCAAAATTCTTTATTCCTCTTCCTGATCAAGTGACAGTCAGTGGAAAGATAAATGTCAGGTATGGCTTTGCATAACAGATTAAATTATTGTATTTTTCTTCTGTCGAATAACACCTATACCAAAGCCGGGTGCAGAACCGTTGTTTTCCTCCTATGGCTCTCTCCTTCGCAGAGGTTCCCGGGACTGAACGGGCGCGTGGGGGACGATGGGAAGTGAGAAAGGGCGGGAGCCTCGCCTCTCTTCTCTTTTTCCACTTCCTGGAGTTCCCCGCGCGCTTCCTTTATTACATCTCCCCATCCTCCCAAGCCTACACGGCTTTCATTGGTTATGATTGTCGTGAAGCAAATTTTGCGATATTTTTCAAGTCGTATATTATTCACAACAATCGTCAGTAAGCTTTAATTAGGTTTCATTTACAAGAAACAGTTTGCGTCGTAGACTTCTCGTAAGCTTGTCGACCCTAACTATCTTTTTTCTTTTTCATCTGCAGTGTCTTGCACTCCACGTGGGGAAAAATGAAGGTTTGCCTGCCTCAACTTGAGACGGGCTGCAAAATGAAAATGAAGATTAATATGACAACAAGTCTAGGAGGCAGTCTGCAATGTAAACTCAAAGATCAGAGTTACACTACAGAGCTTGATGTGCCAAAGGAAAGACAGGAAATTTTCTCAACAGAGTAAGCATATATTTCGGACCCTTTTTTATTATGCGTGGCTTATACCTCTGTTCAGTCCAACAAGAATGGCACGCAAATCCGTCAAGAACATCATTTGAGTCATTTTGCAATATACTTCAATTATCCAGTGAAGTTGCCTGGAATATTACTTGATATCTGCTGAACAGAGATGGCAGACATTAAGAACTTCCTGGCCATATACTGTCATCGTGACAAGGATTGAAATTAGAAAAAAAAAACATCATTATCACGTTTGTCTAATCAATGGTCCATTTCTATTCCCAATTCCTGATGGGCACCTGTCAGTTATCGAGACTTTTGTTGGGTTTCCTACATGGTCCTAGAATCGTTTATTAGTTTTTTTTGTTCAAATGTCAATTGTTCAATCGCTTTTTGTTTTTTTTATACGACAGAAAACAAGGCTACACATTCCTGATGTACACCAAACCAGTAAAACCAGAAATGAAGGACTGGTCATCTCTATACAGGAGCTCAAAATTGGACGGATTTGAAATCGGAGACGTTTCTGATGTATGTTGGGCATAATTCGTTTAAAATAGACACTCATAAAAATCCAACAAATCGAAATCAAAATCAACAAACAATTAAATTTTCCTCGCCTGTGTCTTTAAATTCGTTACTGTCACAAGTTGGAAGAATAAGGTAGCATTCGTAATATTTTCATCTCGCAAAACGACGGTGTTCTAGGCATATTTCGCCTAAAAGCGAAGTTATTTAATAATTATTGTAGCATCGTTTTGACCAAAAATGCCCGGGGGAAACTACCATATAAAAAGGTCGGAGATGCTCATCTGAAAATTTGAATGAAACCCCTAAAAGAGACTAATCAGGGCGCGGGTCGAACTTTATATTTATTTGACCTCTGTTAGATATCACTTAAAAGGGAAAGAACAGCATTTTTTATTATTAATTTCTTTGAGTGCACCCTGAAAGGACCCTTGAAAGCTAAATATAATGACTTTTCGTCCTGAACAACCCTGCTGAGACCAAAATCCGTGATTTACACCCCTAAGCGAGACGACGTTTCCATAAGGGAATTCTCCCCTCCCCTCCGGCAGAAAATGTAACAATCTCCCCCTGGTAGTGCTATGGTGATATCGGTCCTTCATGTAACTTCTCTTGAAGTTAAAGAACGTACTTCCCTTATCTGACAGATTGGAAGAAAACATCACCACCGCTATGCCAACTGGACTCTGAAAGCGGGATCTGGAAAATACCTGTCAGTGAATGAACAAAACGAACTCATCTTGAGCGAAGAACCCACTGTCTTCAAGGTCTTCTTTGTCGGCATGAACCGTCAGTTTGTCAAACTTTTTGTTACCGGGAAAGGATTTGTCAAGGTAATTCTTTCAAGAAATTGTCCATCACTAGCTGTTTACTGTACGTATTAGCTATGTCATTCAGTAGCATGTGAACAAGAGAAACGCGGTCGATTGTTTTGGCTACAATAGAGACACTGGCAGCTCAGATTTGACCGAGGCAGTGTCAGCTAATGTCCGTGGTTTGAAACGATTCCTGGTATTAGGGAACAAAAACGCGAAACAATGACTGAGGCAAATGCCTCAGGTTTGCCTGTTCCTAGCTACTGCCCTGCAGTTTGTCAAAGTTAACCTGTTTAAAAGTTATCCCAGCCTGTCTAACGCAACACGTCGCTTCGTTGCGTCGCGTTAAGTCACGTCATGTTACGTTATGTTACGTTGCGTCCTGTAGGGCTGTTTGTCCAAATGTTTCTTTTTATATTTTAAGTATTCAGAATTGATAGTGGCTCTAGTCTTGTAAAATTCGTTGGTCTATGTATCGTAACGTCATTTCTTCTTAGCAGAAAGTGACCTGTTTTGGTCGGCCAATTAACCAATTATTCCATGAGCGCGCGTTGGATATGGGATGGTAGATGGCCAATGAGGCGCGTAATCCTCTCATATCCAACAAGCACGAGTGAAATAATTGTTTTATCAAAAACGCTCCCAAAATAGAGAAAACTAACCTAACATGAAAATAAAAAGTTCCAAAAAATCATGCGTGCGCTTACCATATTTGTAGTGCATTGTAGAATGGCTCATATAACGACGTGGTGGCTAAGCCAATGATTCAGATTGTAATAAATGTTTATAGTATGTATCTTCGTTATACTGCACAAAATCCTCAAGAAAGATATAATATAAATATTGTCTTTTGATGTTCAGGTGAAGCCAGATTCCAACGGTTGCCTAGAGAGTGTTCAAGACGAACGCTATCCAAAACTTTTCAAGATCACTTACCCAAAGCGGAGCCTTCGAAATATTCGTCTAGCCACCGTGGTGTTTATTCACCCAAATAAATCCAAAAACCCCGAGGAATGGATGGGAGCGACCGCACCCATGAACACAGACCAGGTTCTGCTGTTCAAACACATGATCGAAGACATTAAACCGACAGACGGATATGAAGAGAAATGGAGGTACGTGAGTGATTTGCCCCTTGACGATGTTCCGGTTCAGGAGAGATTCCACCCTCGCCACATGAAGATCGAGTTTGTGACACCAGTGGAGGGCAAGGTTTGCTTGAGGCCAAACAAGAGTTATGAGACTATGTTCACCGTGCACCGACATTACTCAAACACAAGTGTAAGTATAGACTAAGTTCTTTTTTCCAGCTTATGTGGCTTACTAGTTCAGTGCTTATCTCGCGTTTCTACAGTAGTAAGCCATATTGCTACCGGGGGGGGGGGGGAAGA